GAAATCTTTCAACTCTCTCTTTGGTAGGAGTGGGTACAATCAATATAATCAGCCCATCAACTCATCGTATAACCTTCCCATGCAGAGAAGTACCGACGTGACTGAAAACCCTCCTCATATGTATCCTATTACAATGATATATTACACTAAACTACGGTTATAACGAACTCAAAGGGACCACTAATTTTAGTTCGTAATTACCGTACTTCGTTATAAGCATATATACCTGTCAGCATTTATACAACAACTGGTCGGGACTAAAAATAAGTTCGTTATATCCGTCAGTTCGTTATAAGCGTGTTCGTTATAAACGTAGTTTACTGTACCAAGATGACGACGTTCATAGGTTTGCGGAACTGTTTGAAGTGGATGTTAACAGTGCTCTTGTAAGATGCCTTCACCAATAAATGACGTTTTATATTGTTAGAGTAAATTATATGTCTCTGTGTGTAGGTTGGGGGTGATGGGGGGGGGGGGGCGTATCCCAATTATCCAAGATGCTAACTTTTGTTTCAAATTCCTTTTTTTATTTTATTGTTTTTGAAAAGAAGTATCTGTTACATAAAATGTGCCTCCGCCCTGGGCAGCCGAAAACCCATGACACACAGCACAACTTATCAGTACATCTTACTTTTTTACAGACTTCTCACTCACACATTCACTCTAGTAATACAAACATACTGCATATATCAAGTAAGCATAAACTTTTAAAGTTCATATATCATATTGCAGTGTAGGAGAGTACATGGTCTAAAACATTAAAGTCTTAAGTATAAAACTAACATTAAGGGGGGCGTATCCCAATTATCCAAGATGCTAACTTTTGTTTCAAATTCCTTTTTTTATTTTATTGTTTTTGAAAAGAAGTATCTGTTACATAAAATGTGCCTCCGCCCTGGGCAGCAGAAAACCCATGACACACAGCACAACTTATCAGTACATCTTACTTTTTTACAGACTTCTCACTCACACATTCACTCTAGTAATACAAACATACTGCATATATCAAGTAAGCATAAACTTTTAAAGTTCATATATCATATTGCAGTGTAGGAGAGTACATGGTCTAAAACATTAAAGTCTTAAGTATAAAACTAACATTAAGATGAAAGCTGCTCTTCATTTTCGAAAAGTTGATGATACAGCGTACAAGCACCATAGAATTTCTGTTGATTACCCGTCTTGAAAGCAATATCTTTTTCAATGTTGTATCGTGAAAAAGCTTCGGAATCCTTTTTATATACATGAAAATAAGGTTTTGTATTTTGGAATTTGCATCTATGAATAGAACTTTGCAATACGTACAGTACATTAAAGACTTTATCTGTTTTTATGTTCTCTTTAACTCCAAAAAGTATCAATTCTGCACAAAATGTCATATTATTAACATGAAAAGACTAAATTGTCATTTGTTGCTATGTATTTGAGATGATGCGTTGGGGTACATGTATACCTGAGCATCTATCTGCAATAGCTCCTCCGATCTAATAACGTCATTTGCAGTTCACGAAGACATAGGACCACTGAGGTTCAGAACAAGGTCCATGATAGAATTTGTAAATAAATTGCAAGCTTGCCATTGTATTCCAAAGCCTGGTTCTTGAAATGAGCATTCAGTAACAGATATTGTATCAGCCTAGTTTTGGTTTTGAGTAATTGTTTGTTTGTTTGTTTATTTGTTGTTTAACGCCGCACTCAGCAATATTCCAGCTATATGACGGCGGTCTGTACATAATCTAGTCCGGACCAGACAATCAAGTGATTGACATCATGCACATGCATCTACGCAATTGGGATACGATGACATGCATTACCCAAGTCAGCGAGCCTTACCACCCGATCCTGTTAGTCGCCATTTACAGCAAGTATGGGCTGCTGAAGACCTATTCTACCCCTGACCTTCACGGGTCTTGAATAACTGAGTCATTGGGGAGGTGTAAGCAGCCTGTCATGATGATAATCATAATCAGTAAAATGTACACACGTAACGGGTGTCGATTCCCGACATGGGTACAATGTGTGAAGCCCATTTCTGGTGTCCCCCGCCGTGATATTGCTGGAATATTGCTAAAATCGGCGTAAAACCATACTCACTCACTCACTCACTCACGTAACGAGTGAATATTGAGCCTTACCCAACCTCACATTATCGTTATTCCGTTTATTAAATCTGTTCACCATTTGCTACTTCTAATATGAAAGCCATAAAGTTTATTCATTAAAAATCGATTTTTGACTTTGAATAAAAACAATTTAAAGACAGAGAAACGGGTGAACGTACTGAAAAATGTTTTTAGAATAAAGGTTTATCTAAATACATGAAACATAGCAGCTGCATATCACACGAAGATCCAGTCAGTTCTGGGTGTAATCCGTCATATGTATCTTGTTTGTTTCCAAAATTGTTAATTAATTAAAATTATTTTTCATGAAAGTCTCCAAGAACACGGCTATTTACCCACGAATATACAGGAATTAACGTTAACGTTTTGTTCGGAGTATTAATCATACTATGATGATGAAAACAATATGATAGTAATAACATGATGATGGTTGCAGCGGCTAATTTCCTACGCTCTAGCTTTAACGGTCTGTACACATTATACAATTAACAGTTTATACTCCTCAGAGACAGAGGTTGCTTTTGTGTTGAAGAAGATAAATTAGATTTATCTCATTGGAATTCAGAGCTTATGCTGGTTACTCCTTCCTGGGTTTTTTGTCCACCTCATGTGAGAAATCAATATCAATATTCCGTTCTTCTTGTCAAGATGTAATAGATGAATTGAGCATACAGTAACGTGATAAGAATAAATGCCATTTAAAATGTGAATTTCAAAACCTACCTTCCAATACGGCATTAGATTTTGTTCATCGGTGAGTTTAAGCATGTGTTACAATGCATCTGCGTCAGGTATCAGCTCTGAAAAGAAAGGGTATGGTTCAGGATGAAAAGAAACAAAAACTCTCAAATCTTTCATTGCCAAATTTTAACATTTGTATTTGATAGTTTCAATTTTCACGAATCCCTGAAGGAATATATGCCAGAGAAAACATGAATATCCATGTGAGGTTTATGAAATAGTCATAAGATTCAATCAGAATATTTAGTATAAGAAATTATTTCAGTGACACTTTAGACCTTTTGATGAAAACGTTTATCTTGTAAAATTAAATGTTTGATGGGTGAATATAACTGAAAATCGACCGCCTCCGTGGTCTTGTGGTAGAGCGTCCGCCCGGAGAGCGGAAGGTCCGGGGTTCGATCCCCAGCCGCCTCATACCAAAAGACGTTAAAAGATGGTACTTGTTGTTACCCTGTCTAGCGCTCGGCATTAAGGGGCTAAAACAAGGACTGGTCGGCTCGGAGTCAGTATACTTTGTCTGAGTGGGGTATTCATGTTAAACTGCGGCATGGTATCTCAGTGAGCTAGCACTATAAATCGGCATCAGTCCGGACTAGTACAAGCTGCCACACAAACACACACACGTACATGCACGTCGCTATATAAGCGCAATAATCTTGGACGCGACGTTAAACCCCATATCACCTCACCTCACTTCAAGATAGATCACGCAGATTTCTCAGAACATTGTCTTTGTCTTGTCAAATAGCATGTTATCCTCAATTCAGGACAGGAAAAAGTTGATATTTTCATGAATGCCACATTGCTTGGTTAAACATGGCACTTGACAAGCATCAGCCTATTGGTATGCGTTACTGGGGTTTTGAGCTAATTCGAATAGCACGACATTGAAAATAACCGTCTTATCAAATTACTCTCACAAACGAGTGTAATTCGGGTCTTTGTTAAGGGTGCTGTAGAGGTGGTGATGTCACTTCCGCAATGAAGAGAGTGTGGTCCAGGATCTGTATCAGAATGGATAATCATTGTAAATGTAATACTCTGGATGTTCGAGGATTAAAGTTGCATCCGGTTTCACATAACAATGATCGTATTTTGGACGTGCGAGATGGTATCAAACTCGACATGTTTTCAAATTCATAGTTTGAAACACGTTGATATGCGTTCATAGATTCATAGTGTGAAACACGTTGATATGCATTCAAATTCATAGTTTAAAACACGTTGATATGCGTTCACAAATTAATAGTTTGAAACACGTTGATATGCGTTCATAAATTCATAGTGTGAAACACGTTGATATGCATTCAAATTCATAGTTTGAAACACGTTGATATGCGTTCACAAATTCATAGTTTGAATCATGTTGATATGCGTTCACAAATTCATAGTTTGAATCATGTTGATATGCGTTTACAAATTCATAGTGTGAAACACGTTGATATGCGTTCATAGATTCATAGTGTGAAACACGTTGATATGCATTCAAATTCATAGTTTGAAACACGTTGATATGCGTTCACAAATTTATAGTTTGAAACACGTTGATATGCGTTCATAAATTCATAGTGTGAAACACGTTGATATGCATTCAAATTCATAGTTTGAAACACGTTGATATGCGTTCACAAATTCATAGTTTGAATCATGTTGATATGCGTTTACAAATTCATAGTTTGAAACACGTTGATATGCGTTCACAAATTTATAGTGTGAAACACGTTGATATGCGTTCACAAATTCATAGTTTGAATCATGTTGATATGCGTTCACAAATTCATAGTTTGAATCATGTTGATATGCGTTTACAAATTCATAGTGTGAAACACGTTGATATGCGTTCATAGATTCATAGTGTGAAACACGTTTTTTTCTCTGAGTCTCTTTTTTTAACATGTTGGTATGCATTTAAATTCATAGTTTGAAACACGTTGATATGCATTCACATGTGTAGTTTGAAACGCTTTGATTAGCATTCAAATTCATAGTTTAAAACACGTTGATAATTATGCATTCGGATTCATAGTTGAAAACACGTTGATATGCATTTAAATTCATAGTTTGAAACACGTTGATATGCATTCAAATGCATAGTTTGAAACACGTTGTAATATCAGTCATTTTCTTTTTTAGTATCACAGCCACGGCAGCATCCATTGGAGCCGCGGGGGTCCCTCAGGCTGGCTTGGTTACCATGGTGATTGTGTTATCAGCAGTGGGACTCCCTGTCGACGACATCACTCTTATTCTTGTCGTTGATTGGTTCTTGTGAGTAACTATAATTCCGACTGGACGTATTTAGATTTTCAAGTCAAATGCTGATGTCAATTTAGAACAATGCAAATTCCTCACTTAAGAGATAAACATACTTGAAGAGCTTAGAGCTAAAAGGGGCCAAATTCACTTTGGCCCTTTTTGCAAATTATTGCATAAATAACGTCTATGAGTTCTTGTCTACCTGTAGAAAAAAATATTGTATGTTGTCATTGATGCGTTTTTAAAATATAGCTACTTAAAATTCTACAAAAGGTCGAAAGTCAAGTTCCAAAAGGGCCAAAGTCACTTTGCTAGATTTTGGCCGTTAGAGATCTCATTTCCGTGTGGTTGAGACTGGTTGTCTGAGAGAGATTTTGAAAGTTTGGACACCTTATTATTATGTTTCAACTATTTCAACATAGTTAGCATTAGTTTAAATCATTTAAAAGCACTTCAATAGCATGTGTTTGTACATTTAGTAGTACTTTATCAATCTCACATGTTAAATCCCATGCAAATGCCTGAGGGTAAGAAGGGCCAAAATACAGATATTGGCCCTTTCCACCCTTACACATATTAAAAACGTAGGTTTATTTCCTTTTTTGAATGTTTTTTATAACAACATATATATCTCTGCTGTCAGAATGCGTTAATGTCTAAGACTTTATTGGTAAAAAAATGTTCATTAACATACATAATATTATGTGTTTTCATCACTTTTCTCAAAACAGACTCAACATGACATTGGGCCTTATGGCTCTAAGCTCTTCATATGTGTTCAGATTTACGGGTGCTATTGAGTATTGGAAAGTTTATTCGGAATGCCGGTGTCACCCGAAGGTTTCAAGGTTGACTCTGGAATGCCATGGTGTCACTCTGGAATACGATGACAACATGATAAAGTGGATGACATCACGGGATTCCGTGTTACCTTATTTGTATTTTGGATTTGGGGGATGCCTAGTATTGATTCGTAGTGAAAGGGGATCCCATGAAGCAATTTCAACCAATAAGTTTAAGCACATATTTTCATTAAATATACATTGTCCCGCACACCTTGAAGAACCGGGGTACAATAGATCTTCAGCAACCCATGCTTGCCGTAAAAGGCGACTATGCTTGTCTTAAAATGCGACTAACGGGGTCGATGGTAAAGCTCCCTGACTTAGTTGAAGAATGTCATCGTATCACAATTGCGTAGAGCGATGCCCATTGTTTTAATGCCTGAAGAAAACGACCTAATACAGGGATCGGATTGATTGTTGTGTCTTGGCTGGTGATGCTGTCAGTCACATATTCGCCTGGTCCCGGGACTGTCTGTAAGTCTATGATAATGACTAGCTGAAATAATGCTGAATGAATAAACTTTTCAACTTCGTGTTCAGTGACAACATGCTTGTAATACCTACCTATAGAAGTAAGGTTTTTGTTGTAGAAGGTCTGGTCTGGAATCAAATTACCAACTGGATTTTTATTATGTTTTTTAAATTATTTATTCTTTTACCAACGGGAATATTAATCGATTAATGAAAACAGTCTACCTCGTCGCGTCTGCATCCTTAGACAGTGTCCTTTCAAAAGACGAACAAGCATTTTGATAATTGTCTGTGTTAATCTTACAGGGACCGGTTTAGGACAATGATCAACGTAATGGGAGACAGTCTTGGTGCGGGCCTGGTCTACCATCTATCCAAAGACGAGTTACCTCCCTTAGAGCACGAGATGTTCGACACCAACCCCGAGAAGGTTCCCAACGGCCACGAGGGCAACGCCATGACTGCTGTGTAAAGGAAGTGACGTCACGCACCGCATGCGTATAAACAATATGCAATGTCTCCAACTGCCATGTTGACCTTCTGTCAAAACGAAAGCAGCGAAAAACGAAAGATGATTGCTGTGCGCATGTGCGTACACATATTGCTTATTCGCGGTGCCGAAAGTCAGAAAGAAGTGCCCCTCGAAGGATATCGATGTTAAATGATAGGTAAACGGAATGATTTGTTGCCAGATCCCCTCAATCATGCAGGGAGGTAGAAGAGAAAGCCAACTAGTTTTCTATGCATCTAGGCAAGGCTAGTCTAGGTTCAGTCCAGGTTTTGATAACAGTCTGTCATTTCCCGCAAAGGCTAAACACAGTGAACTCTCGTTTTCTCGAAATCGGGAAAATAAATACACCGAGGCATGGACATGCAGTAAAAGCCGCGAGGTCATTTCGAGATGAGAATTAATTTGAAATGTGTAAGTTCGAGATAGCGAGAGTCGACTGTTGCACGCAAAGAGGGTCTTAACAAGAAACTTCCCAGGGCACCTCAGGGAATTTACACTGTAATATCAAAGCTGCATTTTGCAATTATATTGATAACCATTTGTATAAACCGCCAAGGGCATCAGGTAATGACTTCTGGAGGTATTGCTTTTTTTGTGTTTTATTGATTTTTCGTAATATCGTTTACTAATTTCAACTTTCTTATTCTAGCTGCAAAACTAAATTCAAACATGTATCATAATGTCTAGGACACACGGCCTAGGACGCCTGTGTAAAGTTTTAAAGATTTAGTCTGGCAGTGATATGGAGACTGCATCTGCATTTAAAACCTGTCTTTTCATTTACCGCTCAGTTCTTGTTACCATATCTACATATGCTAGGCTCCGTTTGTTTCAATTTAAAGAAAGTTGGATAAGCATGCTTTTAGATGCAGACGCGTTCATTTTCACTGCATTTGTCAAAGTAAAAGGGGCTATGAAAACCTTCTAAAGAATATATTGTTTTTCGAGGCGAACTGAATGCACATTTTGAAATACGGCAAACTTTGTATGCCAAATGGTCATGGATTGGGAGAAATGTCAAATACGGTTGTACTGAACACGTTCAATACGGTTGTACTCAATACGGTTGTACTCAATACGGTTGTACTCAATAATAGATATGGTTGTGACGTCATACACAACGACGTAGATGCCACGGAACATATGAATATTATTTCTATGATATTTTTATCTGCTTTCAATGGAAGTTTTCATTGTTGATATTTTAGATATATGAATTTTACTATCATTTCTTCAATATTTATATGCGTCTATGTAGTTGTAATATCATACTTGCAAAAGTAAACCAATTATATTTTCCCCTGATATTTTTCGAAGATTGAAACTCTTCCATTGGCAAAAAGGTTGTGAAAATATTATTGGAAGTAGCTATATACTCATCAAAGACCATTAAATCACCCCATAGCTTTGTTTTCTGGAACATCCTCCTTGGCTTTGTTAACGTCGAGTTTAGATGAATCATACATATTTAGAATGTCTTTAGGCCAGAATACTGTCTCCATCAGATTCCATATGTCATATTGCTGTCATTAGAACACTTGTTACATGAAGATAATGTAGACAGATAAAGGTCCTTCCGATTGATAGTTTAAAAAATAAAAAAAATAAACAATAAACAAAAGTCCATTTCCAAAGGTTCTTCTTTATGAAAAGTCACCAAATGTTAATATTTCGGAATATATGTCGCTCCAGAGCACGTCACCATCTATTCTATTGTCATAATATCGTTATACATGATCTCTTCTTGAGGGTTTCATGACGGAAACAGTTTGCAATGTGTTTGTTATGGTCATTCATTTGATTAAAGTTAATTAATGATTACATGTATGTAATGAAGCGATGCCTTCTTATGTTTAGACAATCAAACCTTAACTCAAAGAAATTTCAAATTTTCCAAACTCAAAATTGAAGTTTACTTCGGCAGTTTGTAAAAAATGTTTCATTGGAAAACACATTGAATCATGTTCCAATAGGTCATGTGTTGTTTCTATTTTTTCTTGTTGTGTGTGTTATTACAGAAATCCGTTATTAATAATTATTAATAATTGTACATATATTTGTACTCGGAATATTCAGTGGAATTACCAGCATTCTCTCAAACATTAGAATTTATACGTTTATATGGTGTTTACCGTTACATTTGCACTATTGATATTAAACCTTGTTATTTAGAGTTTTTAAGATACGTTATTGAGTTATCACCCATGTTATATTTTGATATGTTGACGCAATTCAGGATCACCACCCTCATTGTCGGGGGTGTATTTACTGTATATAAGCATTGTTTGTCATTTTTTGTTATGTCATACACTATGTTTGTTGTATGAGTAAACATATACCCTTTTATCTTGTTATGATTTGAAGTAGCACAAAACAAACAAACAACATTTAATACAAATTACATACATCGTATGCATTGTGTGGTACATTTCCTCAAATTACTTAAAAGGACGTTGTCAGGGTGCTGTTCTAAGACCACCCTTGTTTCACGCAAACTTCTCCTGATAGTATTACTTCAGATGTTTCATAATATTGTGTTTGCCTTTATGTCGTAAGGAATTAATTTGGGACTTTGTGCTTGATTAACACAAATACAAAGGACCCATATACTGATATCCTGTATTGTTGCAAACAACATGAAACCCTGCACTTTTTTGTGACAAGAGCGTTGCTTATACATACATGTGATCACGTGATGGCAAGTTCGATAGGCCGTCTAGTTTGTGTCAATCATCAAAATGTCAATAGCTTCGCAATTTGTCATTTGTTCTTGTTAGATTCATCACTGAAATACGTCGAATACCAAGCCGGATTGTTTGTGTCTTCTCTGCATTCAAGAATGTCCTTGATGTGTAATGAAACAGCAATTCACAAATCTTATGCTTAGAGTAATTATTATCTACAGAACTAACGGCACATGTTGCATGTTTATTTCTCTTTTAGATTATTAGATTGGTGCTACTTAGAATTGTTGTTTATTTTTAGATCACTCTCTTCATTCCATTTAATGAGCAACAATTAGTTTACATTTGTATATATATTTTCATATGAATGTTACGTTTACTGCACATTATATTTGTAAGTGTTATTTCAAATCAATTTTGTAATCATAATTTGACCAAACCGATACCAATAATATCCAGACACTTGAATGACATTGCAGATCATATGACATCGCTAACCATCATAAAATTATGAAATTAAAAACTGAAATTAATATAAGTCTCTTAAATGAGACAGTGATACAAAGCGTACATTGTCCTTCTATAATATGCCCGATTTATCAGCAGAACTTAAAATATAAAGTGTTCAGCTTGCGATGAAAGGAACTGTCAGGAAATATATAATGTGAATGGAGCTTGTCATTGCAGTGAATAGATATGATAGTATCAATGGTTTAGTATGCGCATTTCCCATGGTGTTGTGTCTCCTTCATCCTGTTCTAGATTATGTAGGACTCTGTAGAGTGCATTAAAGTATTAAAACGTACCTTGATTTCTTTAGTTATTATTTATTAACTGTCGTCACATTTGATGCATCAGTGAGGTGAGGTGAAATGGGGCTTAACGTCGCGTCAAAGATTATTGCACTTATATAGCGACGTGGATGCACGTGTCTGTGTGTGTGTGCTTGTACTAGTCCGGACTGATGCCGATTTATAGTGCTAGCTGACTGAGATACCATGCCGCAGTTTAACATGAATACCCCACTCAGACACAGTATACTGACTCCGAGCCGACCAGTTCTTGATTTAGCTCCTTAATGCCGTGCGACAGACAGGGTAACTCTAAGTACCATCTTTTAACGTCTTTTGGTATGACGAGGCCGGGGATCGAACCCCGGACCTTCCGCTCTCCGGGTGGACGCTCTACCATTAGACCACGGAGGCGGTCTATTGCACAAACGCAAACTACAAAATTCAGTTTTGTATGACTCTGTTTTTCAATATTGCTCCTAAATGAAACATAACATGGTCCCAGATGGTGGAGAAGGATCCATTCACATTTTGGCGAACATCCAGATGAACAATTGATTTGCCTTTGCAAGTGTTTGTGACAGGTACCACCAGTGAGACAGGATACGCTCACCTAAAGTTTCGCGAACACCTGGTGTCATCACTATTTGAAAGTGACTATTAATCACATGCTCATGATATAGTCGGAATCTTTCAGCAAGATATAACTTTGATTATGGTTATGGTTTTTTTTCGCTTTTCATATATATTCAACAAAAGGTTATCACCGCTTTGTGGTCTCATTATTGTATTTTTAACAAAACACGAGATCCGATCCCTATAAGTGTTCTTAGATGAGTGCATTGCATTATGATCGGGGTTAACGTGTTCCTGCGTACCAGGGGAGACAACTCTTATGTATTCGATGAAGCTCTTGCATGAGGTTCGCGAGATATCGTCAGATGAACCAGCCCATATGCATTTTCATATATTTCGACGATATGTTTGAAATAATGTGACGAAACTGAACGCACACACTTCAAATACCTTGAATTAGGTGTCTACTGCTGTGAGTGAGAACATTTAGCTAGACTGTACAAAAACAAGTCCTTTCAAACATCTTTCAACCTATTTTTACACCACATGTAATAGTGCTAACGATCTCCAGATGTTTGCTTGTTGTAATGATCCTCAGAGATAACGCATAACAATTGTTTAGCGACATGTGTGTGTTGACGTATATGTGTGTAAATTATATATGTATGTGTCTATGCGTGTGCGCGCGTGTGTGTGCTTGTGTGTGGGTGCTTGTACCAGTCCCAACTAATTCCCGTTATATATTGCTTGCCCACTGCATCCTCCCGAGGCAAGGGAGTTAACTAACTGTAATAGTCCAGTTTCCACCCTTGCCGAACTTGGCTGGAATTTCTGGGCTCGATCGTAGCACCACCAGTGGCTATTATCACTATGTATCTCACTCCTATTGACCAATCAGATTCCACCTCTGATATCACTTACATTTGCTTCAAACAAAATGGCGGCGCCCAGTGAAGATGACTCTGTTCGATGTAGATCTGATATATTTGAATACAAATGGGTCTTACAACGGGTGCATCAAATCACGTGAGCACCTTAAATTAAAAAAACATGAAAAGATTTGGACAGTAAGTTGACGGTACACATGCATTGCAAAGCCTGCAATCGACGAAATCAGATGGCAGTTTACGAACCGGATGTTCATTTTGTGACTGGACTTTTATAGTCAGTTACCTCCCTTGCCTCGAGAAGATGGCCCACTGAGGCATGATGCGGTCCTGTCCTTAATGCCGAGCGCCTATTACCTTCTATCAAAATTGTCAAAATTACGGCACTTTGTGTATTTTGTTGTATCACATATGTAAATTTGTGCTGGGGGCACTGTTCCCACAGTATACATATATCGTGGTTTATCATATAATGGGTAGGTTTCTCGGCAGGATAAAGCCAACGGATAAAAACGATATCGGTTGGGGTCATATGCGGATAGAGATGCAAATATCAAAGGTCAAGTAGGGACTACTTTCACCGTTTATAAACAAACATGGAGTCGCCCTCGTCATTCGGCGATTGAGTCAGAATTAACCATCGGGAATCTGGATAAACTACAGAGATATTTGCTTTCATTAAAAAAAGAGCAGTCTAATAGCTAAGCGGGATCAGTAGTAGACCTCGGCGGCTTGAACCTTTCTCCACAAATTAAAAGAGTTGGATTTGGACGAAATATGTTTAGAATTGTTACCTTGTTTCGTTTCGTCGCTGTGTGTACATCTGACCGCACTTCTTAACGTTATGACAGGGCAGACCGACTGTCAACACCGTCTGACCGTGGCCGTGACGTCTCATAGACTAGGATTAGAGTAGCTTCCCTTTGACAAAGGACAGTTACTCTAGCAGACAGACCGATGGATTGCCGCGCAAGGCAATTAAAAACAATTGTTGTTTTGCGTATATGTTTCTTCGCCACTGTATAAGAAAGAGATTTCAGTTGGAACTATATTGGCTACTTCACTGTCCGACTGACACATCACTTACCCTGTGACGTAATACATATTAATGCGCGCATTCAAGGAAAACTCGCAGTGTTTCGGTAATGTTTGTGAGAGAGGGAAAGCGATTTTGAAGCACAGAGTTAAAGAATGACATTATATGATAGAGGCCAAGGCTCGCTAAATACAATGTTTATTCCTAATGCAGGATATTTACCAACCCCAAACACACTCGCGTGATAACCTCTATTTATCATCCAAAATTGGCTCCTACAGGTGTTATCGCTTGGGTGAGATCAAGCGATATCTACATTGTAGATATCGCTGCACTGAAGTTGCATCACAATGCTTTGCAGACCACTGTGACGTCATTGTTACCATGACGTCACAATCAAATGACATCATTCATGGCTCTGCTGCTGAAGCTGTTAGCAGTACTTTTTACACTTTTTACGCTTTTATTACTGTCTACAAACTGAAAAAGTTGGAAGAATGATGTTGGATGATAAATATAATCTCACACTCGTCCTCGTGTCTTTTGATATCAAATATATCAACTCTCGTTGATAAAAGTGGGGACATCCTCGGCAAGCCTCGGAGTTTTTCCACTTTTATCAACTCATGTTGATATATTTGATATCAAAAGACACGAGGGTGATGTATGTATTCATGCGTGGCATACCTTAAGGATAATTCTACTACTACTGCTAAGTGTATACTTATTACACAAAGGCAGTTTCTTGGGAACATGGGCAACAATGGCAATGACAATAGCAAATGACATCTGAACTGTACTGTTAAATATTGCACTTCCTCCTAGTTAACATATATTATGTGACGTTTGTGGATAGAGCATGTAGGCAAGGAGTAGGCATCCCGTTTGACACCATTTCGTGTCTCCTCCCTGGAGATCTGAATCTGCGAGTCCGAATTTCTGCTCGGATTGTTGTTTGTTTGTTGTTAGGGCCGCACTCAGCAATAGTCCAGCTATATGACGGCGGTCTATAAATAATCGAGTCTGGATTTACGCAACTGGGATACGATCACATGCATCAACCAAGTTAGCGAGCCTGACCACCCTATCCCGTTAGTCAACTCTTACGACAAGCATAGGCGCCTTTTACGGCAAGCATGGGTTGCTAAAGACCTAATCTACCCCGGATCTTCACGGGTCCTGCTCGGATTAGCAGGTATAAGCTTCAGGTATATTGATGATCTGATATGGTTCAATATAAGTCAAATAGGCACTGATTTACCAAGAAATGTAAAAACGACCAGTACAAATAAATTCCCCCCCCCCCCACACACACACACTTTGAATTGGCTAGTTTTTAGTTCAACGGAGATATCAGGGAGGATATTGAAAGAAGCGTGTGTAAAATGTGTAAATAAATCCCATTCACTGCCTGTACATCTACGGAGGTTTCCTGTCGGAATCGGAGTAAGCCTGTGTCTTTCACAGTCATTGGTAAGTGAAGAAGTCATCACCAGAACATCTTCCTGTAGCAAGGGTATTAACTGAATCCAGAAGTCGGGTTTCCATCCTTGCCGAACTTTGCTGGAATTTCGTGGCTGGATCGTAGCGCCACCAGAGTTACGTCCCTTCAATGTCCCTCCTATTGACCATGATAGTGTCTGATTCGATCCAGCAGGGCAATAATCGTATGTATTTTCTGAAACCGGAAGTGGATAAATCCGACCGGAAGTACTATGTTAAGTAAGTGTTAATGCATCAGTTGGTACCTGAACTTCTTCTGCAGCAGGCACACCCGTGAAGATCCGGGGTAAAAGAGGTCTTCAGCAACCCATGCTTGCTGTAAGAGGCGACTAACGGAATCGGGTGGTCAGGCTCGCTGACTTGGTTGATGCATCTCAATTTCGTGGATCGATGCTCATAATGTCAATCACTGGATTGTCTGGCCCAGACTTGACGTCCGCCATCATATAGCTGGAATATTGTTGAGTGCGGTGTTAGTACATGTAGTAGTAGGCAGTAGGCATGTTTTTTTTTCCGAAACCGGTATGAGGTTATCAAAAATTCAAAACCGGGTTGCTGCCAAATATATATGAATCTATACGACGTTTTGCGCTGTAGAAAATACCAATTATTAATATGACATGATAGATCTGCGATAGATTTAAGTAAACGCCAATATCTGCTCCAGATGTGGATTCCGCAAAAGATCTGAGAATCCGTCACGGATCAGACTCGTACCACACACACACACACACACACACACACACACACACACACACACACAGATTATATAAAATATATAAATAAAGATTTGTGACATCGCCTAACAATAAACCTACGCTCTGACATAACTCACTCACAAAAGTAAAGAAGAATAACAGAATATTAAGAGAATAAATTTATTCATTTCATACATTGAATTGACAAAAGACAGCACAAAATACCACAAGGCCCTTGTAAAATATCATTGATATTGTCGTTCTTCTAGACTTCGCTTAGCATAAAACATTGATGAAACACTGTGGGTGTGAGAGTTAACCTTGAGTCATGTATAGTGTCAGCTGTGACGTTGTCAGCTTTCGGTTACACACAATGAGCTAGACCTCCATTCCGGAGACCCCAAGTACACAGCAATCACTTGTTACACGCCCATCACACATCTAGTCTGTTTTACGACAACCGTGAGACCGATTTCGAGCATCCCCACATGCGTTCGCATCCTTAACAAGCATGACCGTTGAAGCCTCATCATTCTTGTTAAGGTTGGCCTTCACCACAGGTGGGGTCACGTGAAATGGGGTTTAACGTCGCGTCCAAGATTATTGCACTTATATAGCGACGTGTATGCACGTGTGTGTGTGTGGCTGCTTGTACTAGTCCGGACTGATGCCGATTTATAGTGCTAGCGCAGTTTAACATGAATACCCCACTCAGACACGGTATACTGACTCCGAGCCGACCAGTCCTTGTTTTAGCCCCTTAATGCCGAGTGCCAGACAGGGTAACAACAAGTACCATCTTTTAACGTCTTTTGGTATGACGCGGCCGGGGATCGAACCCCGGACCTTCCGATCTCCGGGCGGACGCTCTACCACTAGACCACGGAGGCCTTCACCACAGAGAGATATTGGAATAAGCATGAGTGAGTTTCGTTTTACTCCGCTTTGAACACTCCAGTTATATCAGGGCGTGTCAGCTTAATATGGGTGGGAAGCCCTATGTGAAACCCACGAGCCTATGGTGCTGACATACCTAGAAACATAATCGGGGCTCAGCTGGATACGAACCCCGATCATAGGTTCCTGGTGTGCCCAAGGGACACAACTCTGCACAGGAAATTGCGACGCCCTAGACGACTAGGCCACCCGTGCCCTACATGGGAATGTGTGATTGAGTGAGTGAGTGAGTTTGGTTTAACGCCGCTTTGAACAATTTTCCAGTTACATCAAGGTATGTTGGAGGAAAGCCCGAAGTGATGCAGGTATCAGACGTTTACCATTTCGGTGAAACCCACGAGCACGGGTATGGTGCTGACAAACCTAGAAACATAATCGGGGTGAACCGGGATTCGAACCAACAATCATAGGTTTCTGGCATGCCCAAGGGAAGCAATTCTGCAGAGCGAATTGCGGCGCCTTAGACGACTAGGCCACATGGGAATGAAGCGAGAATGATTCTCATTCGTTCCTTGGAATAGAGGTTCGGTTATCTTACAACGTGTTTGTCTTGAGGAAACCCGCAAGTGGCACAGGTCGGAGACGTTTACCTCTTTGGTGAAACCACGAGTACTTACATTGTGCTGATGGACTAAGGATCATATAAAGGACAAATCCAGGATTCGAACCCTTGATCAGCGGATCTTGGTACGGCTAAGGGAGAGAACTCTGTACAGAGAATTGCGCTGCCTCAGATCACATTGTATGATATGATTATATTTTCGTTATATAGAATACCTTCAATATATGCATTATTTAATGATCTACATGTAGGTATCAAAATGTTTTCTTCTTGAAGCATCATGACTCACTTATTCAAAACAGATCGATCATCGATACACTCATCCATTATTGAACGATCCTTTGTTAGGATTCATTTGCACAAAAAAACATCCATCTAGTGCTCAGTCATCTTGTTGTAGGAGCCAAGAACCTGACTCCTTAAAACTGACGAACACACTTTACCTTATATTAATGGACTAAAGTAATTTACCGTGCCTGTCTGGTACGTTGTAGACAGGTTATGCCAAGGAATTATAATAAGGCCACATGAAATGTTTTTGTATGTTTCAATCTACATAACCTTTTCTACATACAAAAGGTTATTTTGGTAAGATATTCGACCTTATGACTAAAACATCCAACGAACACAGCTTGGTGTACTACAACTATCACTCAACTGACTATTCAAGACGTATGCACATGCAGAATGTATAACACTCCAATTACGATATGGATGTTACCGGTGCCAGGTAAATTGACTAATTGATTGGTGTAGCTGACCTAAAGAGGTTCATCAGAATCACACCCATATTTCACGGTCTTGTATACACTACGTTCCTCCATACATACGGGCGATCTGCGGTGCAGCCGCTATTTGTAACCAACGAACCACGGCCTGGTTCCAGCAATGTTCCTTGACTCCCGTGAATATATACGGCAGATTTGCGGTGCAGCCGCTATTTGTAACCAACGAACCACGTCCTGGTTCCAGCAATGTTCCTCTACACCCGTGAATACACACGGCCGATTTGCGGTGCAGCCGCTATTTGTAACCAACGAACAACGTCCTGGTTCCAGCAATGTTCCTCTACACCCGTGAATACACACGGCCGATTTGCGGTGCAGCCGCTATTTGTAACCAACGAACCACGGCCTGGTTCCAGCAATGTTCCTCTACACCCGTGAATACATACGACCGATCTGCGGTGCAGCCGCTATTTGTAACCAACGAACAACGGCCTGGTTCCAGCAATGTTCCTCGACACCCGTGAATACATACGACCGATCTGCGGTGCAGCCGCTATTTGTAACCAACGAACCACGTCCTGGTTCCAGCAATGTTCTTCCACACCCGTGAATACATACGACCGATCTGCGGTGCAGCCGCTATTTGTAACCAACGAACCATGTCCTGGTTTCAGCAATGTTCCTCGACACCCGTGAATTCATACGACCGATCTGCGGTGCAGCCGCTATTTGTAACCAACGAACCACGTCCTGGTTCCAGCAAGAGGGAGTCTAAATGATCAGTCCAATCTACGCGAAGCGGTGCCAGGATCGAAACACCAAAAGTGGCCTTGATGTGGCAAGGATAGAAACTAGACTTTGATATAGGCTAGTGGACACGCTTGACTTGGGAAGATGGTCCAGCAATATCCAAACAGCTCCAGCCTTTGGGGTCTCCACTTTTCAGGTACAATCGAGCATGCTTTTTCTACGTGAGTCACACGTCGTTTATTCCAAAGTTGTTTGATCAAGGTTACAACAGTCATGGCCTCTGTAAGCCTTTTGAAAAGTTTCGGGTTAGACATGGTGAAGATATTTCAGAATTTGACGCATCAGTGACAAAAATGCTGTCCGATGCAATTCCCCATTTTGACTTGTTCCATGTGTTCCTTTGTTTTTCAGGGGAATAAATGACTTTGATTGCATGTGTTTGTGGCGGATGCCACCTTTTCTGGAACACCTGGTATCATCACTATTTGATAGTGATTCATAAATACCTGCTCATGATAGGGTCGGTTGGTTGGTTGGTTGGTTGGTTTGTTTTTTAACGCCGCTCTCAGCAATTCCAGCTATATGACAGCGGTCTGTAAATAATCGAGTCTGGACCAGACAATCCAGTGATTAATATCATGAGCATCGATCCACGCATTTGGGATCGATGACATGCATTAACCAAGTCAGCGAGCCTGACCACCCGATCCCGTTAGTTGCCTTTTACGACAAGCATAGTGACCTTTTATGGCAAGCGTGGGTTGCTGAAGACCTATTCTACCCCGGAATCTTCACGGGTCTGATAGGGTCGGAATCGTACAACCGATTCAGCTTTCAGTAGTTATTTCTGATGAATATGGAAAGGGTTTGGGTGATTCTATTATAAACAGCATCATTCACAACACACATCACAAATACAATGTACATCTCTTATCGGTCAAATAGATTCACGGGTAGGGGCGGCACGTACTCGATGTTATGTATACAAGACCGTGAAGTATTGAGGATCAACTATAAGAAAACAAATCCACATATCCATATTTTAGTCCTATGTTATTCATACAACGTGCAGTATCAGTATTCCTTTCAAAAATTGAATAGTGTGTCCAGATACATCTTCGCGAGGCAAGAGCGTCCACTAGCCCTTTTATCAAAGTCTTGTTTCCACCCTTGCTGCATCAAGCCCACTTTCATGTGCTAAATATGATTGCTCTAGCACACATATCGATAGTCCAATCAGAGTGAGTGAGTGAGTGAGTATGGTTTTACGCCGCTTCTAGCAATATTCCAGCAATATCACGGCGGGGGTCACCAGCAATGGGCTTCACACATTGTACCCATGTCGGGAATCGAACCCGGGTCTTCGGCGTGACGAGCGAACGCTTTAACCACCAGGCTACCCGACCGCCCAGTCAAATCAGAGAACGTTTCTCAAAATCAACATCCCCGACTGGTACATATTTGTACGAAAGTGTATTTGTGACACGAATGTCTTTTTCATATTTTAAACCCTCATTTGCCTGTGTCTGTCTGTAAATGATGAAATTGCGAATGTTTCCGTTGTCGGATCGACTAGTTCGTCGCCTTTGGTAGTCGCCATCTTTGTGAAGCCATGATACGAGATAAGAACAGCAATTTGATTGGATATCGCGTTTTCATTACAAGGGGAACAACTCGTGATCTACGCGAAGCGGCGCCAGGATCGAACCACGAAAAGTGGCCTTGGTGTGGCAAGGGTAGAAACTGTGCTTTGATATCGGCGTGTGGACACGCTTGCCTCGGGATGATGGTCAAGGGAAAGTGCCCGTAGAGTGTTACATGACAGGACATGTCTACACATCCCATATAGCATGTACACATACACTAAACAAGAAAGTTAGGGATCATGAATATCCCCAATTTTTAAAAAGAAATATCCCCCAAAATATTCGTGATCCCTTACTGTTTTTGTTCGGTATATTTTCGACCAACACGTCAATGAAACATTCATAATCTCAAGCCAAATATACAGAACAATACTCCTATAGGAGAACAACCATAGGTTGGTCAATAGAGATCGCTTGATTCATCTCAAGTACTACTAAGTTATATGATATATTTTGTTCAATTCGAGAAACACATTCGGGTAAATGACTTGGATTCTCGGTTGAAACACATGACATGGTTCACACGTATCTAGATTGAACACTGTACGGAGAGAAATGCTGTTTCAAGAATTCTACTGTTTGATTTAGTGTCAAACCATTAATGAACTCCTGTAGACCAAAAAAACAAAGACACTCCCCTCCAAACAAAGACGTAAAAAGAATGGAAAAAGAAACAAATCAATCTTCTTGAAATGATTAAAATAAATATAAATAAATTTGAAAAGTAAATAAAGAAAATAACAAATAACAAATATATTAGATAATCATAAAAAATGACATTAATTAATGAAGGAACGAATTAGGCATCAAACACAGAGAAGAGCACATGAAAACCTCTGGTTGAAATAAGACTCGAACATGAAGTCATGAAGTAGAATTCAACTGAAAGTGTTCTTGTCAGATGATTATGTTCTGAAACAGATGTTCCTTAAAGTGTTCTGGATGTGTTCTACACCCTATTCGTCACACCGATCTTCTTCTCCACAGTGAACCCGTCGGATGACACAAGTGTTCATACCCATCTTCATGATATGAAACGACTCTTCTTTGTCAAACGAAACTGTTTGTTTTAGTTACAATTGCCACAGGGCCAACATCTCTAGGAATACTGTGCAGCGTTGCCGCCCTGTAGCACTTCCCGTTCTCATAGAAACAGTGGAATCGTTTCCTTTCACAGGAGCTTGGCTCCGAGTCGTGTTTACTTAACGCTTCCTTGTCCTTGTCTTTGTTTTTGTTTTTGTTTTTGTTCTTATTTTTCTGGTCACAGGTACCGTTGTTTTTATGTCGCGCACTAGATGAAGACGCATGCCAGTATATCCTTTGAAATTTCCTAGAGTTGGTTCGTAATTTGTGACGTATCCACATCTTTCTCAGTTCAGATTGTACCTAGGGGTCAAAAAGAATAAAATGGTGAAAAATGATATGCTTTGTTGTTAACTTTGTTAAATAAGATTAGGTCCCTGAAATATTCGGGATTTTTAATTGCGTTTGAATCCTTTTCTGACGGTTGCACTGGTCGCGAACACCTAGGATTATCACTATATTATCGTGATTCATAAACACATGCTCATGATAAAGTCTGAATCCAAATGGCTTCTGCTTCTAGCAGTTATTACTTATAACTGATAAGCTTAATTCTTTCTCAAACATAAACACGTATAGATGACATTGTGTCCGACTTACAAACGTGCGAGTTCACGAAGAGATACCAGTATGATCGTGCTACGGAAATGCATTGATAACGTTGGCAATTTACATTGTTGATAAACATTATGTGATTTATTTCTTGTGTATCTGAGGATGTTTATCTCTTAACTGAATAAGGAAGGACTTTTGTGAGGGATGTGCAAGGTAATTGCAGCAATTCAAACTGATAAAAGACAAACATTGATTTGAATCGGGGATTAGAACACGTGCAGCGGATGGAGTCATGGATGGCTTACTCTACAACGTGCTCTTCTGAGAACAGTATTACAAGTGCATCACCAAAAATGTTAAAATATATTTGGCAACGAAATAGGCTTCTGTCTTTGTTTGGAATAATAGAGAAACATTACTTGAATGCATAATAGTCTGTGTATAATAGAATACATGGTATTGACTCTTGACACATGACTAATTAATATGATATATGTAGTCGGAGGCGTACAATGAACTTTGCTTTTATCAGATGTTTCTTATGACTTTGAATCAGTATGTGTGTGTGTTTGTGTGTTTGTGTGTGTTTGTGTACGTCTGTGTATGTGTGTGTACGTGTGTGTGTGTTTGTGTGTGTGTGTACGTGTGTTTGTGTGTGTGTGTGTACGTGTGTGTACGTGTGTTTGTGTGTACGTGTCTGTGTGTTTGTGTGTGTGTACGTGTGTTTTTTGTGTTTGTGTGTGTGTGTGTGTAAGTGTGTGTTGTTGTTGTTTTTTTTTTGTGTGTGTGTGTGTGTGTGTGTGTGCGTGCGCGTGCGTGTTTGTGTGTACGTGTGTGTGTGTGTGTGTGTACGTGTGTGTGTGCTGGTAGTTCGGTAAAGCTGGGTGACATCCTTATATTTACCTCGCCGTTGCAGAAACAGAAGAGGCAGGCAACGAAAAAACCCTGAAAATGAATAGACGCAGTTAAAAAATATGTTTCATCAAGGTTTTTTGATATAGTACCAATTTTTTTACGTCATTTGGCGATTTTGCATATTCTTCGTATTGTGAATCGAACTATGTTTAAATGACTGAAAAAGTCTTATAGACATTGGAAAAAGGGGAAAAGTTGGCTTTAGTACAATTGCTGAAAAACCGCAACATCAGTCAGCAATATAACATAACTGCGTTGTCAGCAATATTCCAGCTATATATGAAAATATTGTGGTCTGAAGGGATGGTGATGAGAGGTGTTTTCGAGCAGGATGGTCGAGCGTCAAAGCTGATGGTCACCAAGCGGGACAATATCAACACACAGTAGACGTGTTTTCCATCTAATCCTCCCTGGGGGCGGGAGTGGCCCAGTCGTCAAAGGCGCAGCGATTCGCTGTGCAGAGTTGCGTCCGTTGGGCACGCCAGAAACCTTTGATTGTGGGTTCGAATCCCGGTTCGCCCCGATTATGTTTCTAGGTTTGTCAGCACCATACCCGTGCTCGTGGGTTTCACCGAAGTGGTAAACGTCTGAGACCTGCATCACTTCGGTCTTTCCTCCCACATTAAGCTGACACGCCGTGATATAACTGAAATACTCTTAACAGCGGCGTTAAGCCCAACTCACTCACTCACTAAATCACTCACTCCAATCCTCCCTTATAACCACCAGGACGGTAACCTATAATCACCACGCATGAAGGTAAGGATGCTCATTGCTACACATTTTGGAAAAGTTTACCTGGAATGAATTGAAGAACAGCTCGTAGTAGAGTTTAACTAGCTCCGTCGTGTAGACGCCGTCGGGGACGAAGACGAATATGATGTAGTGGACGCCGAAGAGTGGTATAAGCACTAGAGTGGATTTAGCCAATCTCCTGTGACATCATACAAAATATTGTCAGACATATTGGGGTGGTTATTTTTGACTGTGTGTTAACATGCACACAGTATCATTGGCAGTGGTGTTCCCGAACACCGCCCATGTTCAATCCTGTGTTAGTATTAACACGCTGACCTGTTTATTGGACTTTAGTGCAACAGCATTCAGTATATATTAGCGACAAAATGATGAATATACAATCCGAATACTGTTCAAGTCGGCGTTAAACTAGCTTACTCACTGTAACTAAGGGGGGCACGGGTGGCCTAGTCGTCTAAGGCGCCGCGATTCGCTGTGCAGAGTTGCGTCCCTTGGGCACGCCAGAAACCTATGATTGTGGGTTCGAATCCCGGTTCGCCCTGATTATGTTTCTAGGTTTGTCAGCACCATACCCGTGCTCGTGGGTTTCACCGAAGTGGTAAACGTCTGAGACCTGCATCACTTCGGGCTTTCCTCCCACATTAAGCTGACACGCCGCGACATAACTGGAATACTGTTAAAAGCGGCGTTAAACCCAACTCACTCACTCACTCACTCACTGTAACTAAATCACATGTACATTCTTAAAAATAGTCCACTCGCACTGTAGCTCACCTGGATATTTAGTCACACAGTTTAAAATGTCAACAAATTAAAGTAAACCATTTTGCAAAAGACGCTGTCGGCCTTCACATTCTAATAAATTCTTCATAAATATTGAGGGACAACATATCACTTCACTCTTAAGATTTGTGCAAAATAATAAGGACATGTCAATGTTCAGCTCCCTCAATTCGGTATTGTCTGAGAAGAAGGTTTTAGAGCCCAACATGTATTTTAAGAGAAATAAGAGCATGATCAAAACTAATTTAGATGTCACCATGGGTGGGAAAAGTGCAGTTTTACCTTCATAGACTCAGTGGTTTTTGGACGCCAGACAAACAGGTTTTGAGATAAAATTGAGATAAAATTGCGCCTTTGTAATTTGATATTTCATAGTGTTTCGAAATGGGAGAAGAATGAAGGATTATTACCGAGGATTTTTACCGAAAGCACACGTGTAAGGGGGATAATCCACACATACTGCTGTCATAACATCATATGGGTAACGCTGATATTTTAAAAATTATTATAATGTTAACGTTGTGTCTGAAATTTAAATGATGCGCCCCTAGTTCAGGATAGCCCATCGTAGCTCCACGATCGATTTTTGAACCGGGCCCTGATCACTCATTGCAAGCATTCGGATCTGTTACCATCCGTCACCACTCGCCCCTTTCCGTAAACTGCAAAGAAGACTCGTCCCCCTATGGATGAATGTTATGTGTGAAAATACGACAAACCAATCAGAATGCGCGTATGATTTCCAGTTCTTCGTCAAAGAATCCCTCAGAAATAATTTTTGATTTTACATATGTCTTGCATATAAAAATATACCCATGACACAGTTAAATGTGTTCAATCATACTGTATAATTCCGCATATCCAGATGTGCTTTAAATTGCACCTGAAATATATATAATATATGGGGAAATATATGTGAACCATAACGCAACGATAATTGTTTTAGGTATGCCCGTTTGCGCTAAAACGGAACCCGGTCGCAAAAATGGCCATGAGAGGGCCACGAGTCGCTTTTCGGCTTGTCCCGGAATAACACGAGTTAGTCACGAATGCTGTTACATGTTACATGTGCATGTTGCATGTGCTTGGTTCGCTGGTTACAATAACGGCTACACTGCAAAACGGCCGTAAGTATTCACTGGTGTTTGGAGGGACGTAGCGCATGCACCCGTGAAGTATTTACGATGGTACGTAATTCGCCCAGGGTTTACACTCGGTAATATATATTTGAAGATACTTACCTATATCGATATTTTCTCGCACGGGGGGTGCTGTTTCTTGTTACTTGCAGCTTGGTAAACAAAACCCGCACCACATTCACGAAAAAAACAAAAGAACCCTGGAAAAAAGGAATAAAAGAATTCTATAGAGAACGGTGAGGTGAGCCGAAATGGGGTTTAACGTCGCGTCCAAGATTATTGCACTTATATAGCGACGTGCATGCACGTGTGTGTGTGTGTGTGTGTGTGTGTGTGTGTGTGTGTGTGTGTGTGTGTGTGTGTGTGTGTGTGTGTGTGTGTGTGTGTGTGTGTGTGTGTGTGTGTGTGTGTTTGTGTGTGTTTGTGTGGCTAGTGGTAGAGCGTCCGCCCGGAGAGCGGAAGGTCCGGGGTTCGATCCCCGACCGAGTCATACCAAAAGACGTTAAAAGATGGTACTTGTTGTTACCCTGTCTGGCGCTCGGCGTTAAGGGTATAAAACAATTACTGGTCGGCTTGGAGTTAGTTTACTGTGTCTGAGTGGGGTATTCATGTTAAACTGCGGCATGGTATCTCATTGAGCTAGCACTTTAAATCGGCATCAGTCCGGACTAGTACAAGCAGCCACACACACACACACACACACACACGTGTATGCACGTCGCTATATAAGTCCAATAATCTTGGACGCGACGTTAAACCCGATTTCACCTCACCTTACCATTTTACAGAAGATATATTACAGTATTAAAACTGGAAAAATCAATTGATGCGTCGTAATATCATTGTCAGTGGTGGACACGATTCCATGTATTGGCTCGTGCTTTCAAAGAATATACATTGTATATTTACCTCTCTTTTTTTGGTTTCTTTTGTTTAACGCCACACTCAATAATATCCCAGCTAAATGACGGCGGTCTGTAAATAATCGAGTCTGGACCAGACGACATCATGAGCTTCGATCTACGAAATTGGGATATGGTGACATGCATCAACCAAGTCAGCGAGCCTGACCACCCGATCCCGTTAGTCGCCTCTTACAACTACAATAGTCGCCTTTTACGGCAAGCATGGGTTGCTGAAGACCTATTGTACCCCGGATGATTACGGTTCTATGTATGTTTACCAATACATGTAGGTTGACATTGTAAGCCTTCGGTGAACATTATCTATTGTATTAATATAAGGGAGAATTAAACTTATATATATATTTGAAAACAACGAAGCAGGATACGAGTCCCTTTTGAAACACTGTAAATGTCCAATAATAAAGTTGCGGAAACCCTGAACTATTATTATGAAACTTATCAGAACTCTTCAAATGGCTGCATACTGTCCTTTTTTTCTTAATAAAACTTGCAACATGGACATGATCATAAATATTTTTAAGTATGGCTGAGATGAGTTACAAAAATCCAAATGAAAATCTAAGTTGATAAAAGTTTTTTTTATCAACATCTCATGTGGAAATGAGCTTTCGTCTGCTTTCACATGTTCAATATCAGCAAAAAGCGCTTCCTGAAAACCTCCCAAATCATCCCCTTTCACATAGTGTATCCTTACCTATGGATTAGAGTTATCATGGATGTACGTCCCAAACATGAAATAGTTGAAATGAACCAAATCTGGTAAGTTTAAACAATTTCAAAAGGTTTTACTTAAATCTTAAATTTTACAGATCCTGGAAGTCAAAGTGGATTTTTATCCTAGATCTTCCTTTGAACGTGTTAGCATCCTCACGACAAAAGGAAACAACGGTTTAAAAGGAACCGCAGCTCGAGGTGCAGAGTTGCGTCCCTTAGCTGTTACAGGAACTGCTTATCATGTCTTCGAATTTCAGGTATATCCCAGTTATGGTCATTGAGTGGTCAGCACCATGCATGTCCTCGTTATATTCGCCGTCGTGGTGAAAGTTTACCGTGTGCGCCATATTTGGCTTGAAACCCAAAATAGAATGACACGAAGTGGCAAAACTAATATCAAACAAAGTGGTATAAAAAAGAAAAAAAAACTTTTATGTAGCTTTAATAAATCCCTGAGCAGAGTCTATTTACGATTCAGACTGTATCTTTTGATTTTGAGGGAAAGAACTGTTTACTCTGTGATAAATATATCTGTCCGTTTGTTGAGACCATAAAATTTAACTGCGCTTCTTCCTTCAGAAACTCTTACTCGTTTACTTGCGTTTGCTCAATTAAACAGTACACGAAGTCCCTTCATCCGAATATTTCAAACCTATTATTAACGTGACATGAGGTGAAATTGGGTTTAACGTCGCGTCCAAGATTATTGCACTTATATAGCGACGTGCATGCTCATGTGTGTGTGTGGCTGCTTGTACTAGTCCTGACTGATGCCGATTTATAGTGCTAGCTCACTGAGATACCATGCCGCAGTTTTAACATGAATACCCCACTCAGACACAGTAAACTGACTCCAAGCCGACCAGTCCTTGTTTTTTTCCCTCAATGCCGAGCGCTAGACAGGGTAACAACAAGTACCTTCTTTTAACGTCTTGACACCAAGTGGTCGGGAAGAAGTGAGCACATCTTGCTCCACCGGTTCAATTGTACAAAAACACCGGAACATTATGATAAAAGTCAAAATAGAGATTGCATCCTACATAATGTTTTTCACTGATACATCAAATTTGGTATATTGAATACGACACGAGGTTCAATACTTACCACTAGTATAGCAACGATAGGACCCTTCATTATCCAGAAGTAGCCAGGCGTGGGATTGGTGTTCCAACAACTGAAGCAGAATATCATATGATACATTTAGTATGTAAGGTCACAAAGAACAGGGGTCACGGGTGGCGATTCGCTGTGCAGAGTTGCGTCCCCTGGGCATACCAGAAACCTATGATTGTGGGTTCGAATCCCGGTTCGCTCCGATTATGTTTCTAGGTTTGCCAGCACCATACCCGTGCTTGTGGGTTTCACCGAAGTGGTAAACGTCTTGGACCTGCATCACTTCGGTCTTACCTACCACTTTAAGCTGACACGCCGTGATATAACTGGAGTACAGTTAAAAGCGGCGTTAAACCCAACTCACTCACGCACTCTGTCCCTAAACTCAACATTCTTATACGTACCACATATAACAAAAAATGCATACACTTACTTACTCACTCACACAGAACAACTTGGCCTTATTACCAACAGACCCTAAAAATCTGCCAACCCCTCCTATATATTACTTTGCACTGAAGAGTCAGGTCGATTTTGTCAGTTACTTTCTATTCCGATGATAATATCAGGTACAATTTAACAACAATTAAACAGGACCTTCTGTATATCACAAATCACTGTTTACTTTTAGCAAGGCATGAACACCTTGTGTTATCGCTGTTTTTCGTGGCTCATATCAATTCATAAAATGTTCATCACTACGTTGCCATTTGCGCCCAATAGAATATGTTTCGGCAAATAATCGAGACTGGGTGTTTCTGGCCTTGACGTTTTCTGGTAAGTACAATTGAAGAGCTTAGGGCCATAAGGGCCAATGTCATGTTGAGTCTGTTTTGAAAAAAGTGATGAAAACACATAATATTATGCATGTTAATGAACTTTTTTTAACCGATAAATTCCTAGACATTAACGCATTCTGACAGCAGAGATATAAATGTTTATAACAAATAAACATTCCAAAAGGAAATAAACTTACGTTTTTAATTTGTGTGAGGGTGGAAAGGGTCAATGTCTGTATTTTGGCCCTTTTTGACCCTCGGGCATTTGCATGGGATTTAACATGTGAGATTGATTAACTACTACTGAAAGTCCAAATACATACTATTGAAGTACTTTTAAATGATTTAAACTTATGCCAACTTTGTTAAAATAGTTGAAAGATAATAATGAGGTGTCCAAACTTTCAAAATCTCTCTCAGACAACCAGTCTCAACCACACACGGAAATGAGATCGAAATCTGACTTTGGCCCTTTTGGAACTTGACTTTCGACCTTTTGTAGAATGTTAAGTAGCTATATTTTAAAAACGCATCAATGACAACATACAATATTTTTTCTGTGTCTATTTGTGTCTCAACCACACACGGAAATGAGAGCTAAAAGGGCCAAAATCTAGCAAAGTGACTTTGGCCCTTTTGGAACTTGACTTTGGCCCTTTTATATAATTTTAAGTAGCTATATTTCAAAAACGCATCAATGAAAACATACACTATTTTTTTCTACAGGTAGACAAGAACTCATAGATGTAATTTATGCAACAATATGCAAAAAGGGCCAAAGTGCATTTTGGCCCCTTTTAGCTCTAAGCTTTTCAATTGTGAATTTCGGTTCGCGTGTTTATGAAAATTAATCGAAATACACAAATATATTTTATATGCGGCCTCATGGAACTTCTTATCGATGCGATAAATCAGTCGGATAAAAGTGGTATCACCATCCGATAAATAACAAATGAGTTCCCTCAGCGTTATTTGTTTACAATCTCTACACATCGATGAGATGGCTACTGGCTTAATCAACTATTAATATTCCAATTAAGTATTGTTAACATTATTCTCTATTTTGGAGTTCTGTAAACAATACAATTGGCACTATATAATGGATCGGAAGGTTCACGGTAGTGAGACGGATTAGAATGTCACCATGACCTTTCCTAACCCATGATTGTATTCATACGCGGCAGTGTGTGTAAATTCGACTTATGCAGTTACATTTTTAAATCACATCATATGACAAAGAGATTTTTACACGCGTGTTTCCATATCATAATCAACTTATTAGGATTTTTAAAAAATTGCTTTTATCTCTAATACGTGTACAAAGAGAACCACACAGTGTTCTTATGTGGGTTTATTCAAAGATCAGAAAGATTATAGCATCTTATTCCAAGAGCATCATCATCGATCTGCCCTTACTGCTTAGTCCATTACGTCGTGCTGGGAGTGAGGGTAAATGGCTCACCAAGTGATGTCCCTGATAATGATGTAACCTTTCAAAGACGGAAGAACGCTACATGAAAGCCTCGCACACATCTAACGGCACATAATAGCATGTGACTTCAAGCAAGACACATGAAACATTAACGTGTCTTCAATGTAAAAGTCGACTTGACAGAAGTGTTGTTTTGCTCGTTGAAATACAAATAGTTCGAAAGAAACGGATTTTTTATGACATAAATCGCTGGATGTCGCCGGAAATTTCAGGTCAAAGTCTCAAGTCTCGAAAAAAGTGGCAGCATATCTGTCATGGCTGTCGGGGATACATGTCTGACGGTTACATATCTGCAATATACCTTATTAGGAACAACTGGAAGCATAGCAGACATGCCATCGATTCAAATTGTCACGGAGAAGGCTCCAATTTCGCAATACAGTCAACTACGGTTATAACGAAGTGAAAGGGACCCCTAATAATAATTCGTTATAACTGTAGTTCGTTAGGAGCATATGTACAACATATGTACACAAAATCGACGGGGCCAAGAAACAGTTCATTATATCCGGCAGTTCGGTATAAGCGTGTTCGTTATAAACGTAGTTTATTGTAAATAAAAACGACGAAACTATTTCCGTATTTATAAGAAAACTCCAAAACCAGACACCATTGTACGATTCCGACTATAACATGAGCAGAGCAGACAAAACATTTATGGATAACAGCTTCCTGATTATACTGTAATAGCGACGTTTCGTTATTGATCCTTATACCGTTGTTCTTGCTTGACAACGGTATAAAGATCTATACCTAAACGTCGATATAACAGTATAAGAAAGACGTTGCTATCAATTATTTTATTTTTTCTACTTTTTCATCCGTCAACTTTTATTGAACAATTTATATCATGAGCAGGTGCTTATGAATCACTATAAAAAAACAACAACTACGTTTATAATGAACACGCTTATAACGAACTGACCGATATAACGATCTTTATTTTTAGTCCCGGACATTTGTTATAGTTTTGCTGTATATTTGCTTATAATGAACTACGGTTATTACGAACTAAAAATAATGGTCCCTTTCAGTTCGTTATAACAGTAGTTTACTGTCGTGTTTTCTCCATTGTTTCTTACTTTGATTTATAAAAGTCGAAGCGTAATAAAATCGCTTTATGAAACGAAATCGAGGAGGTCGATTTATAAAGTAATTGTTTGTAACTCTTGTGTGTCATGCAGATATGAACGAAGCATATCATACTCATTCAGATGTGAAAAGGATGTCGTTTTCGTTTTCAAATATCATATTCATGTGATCTAAAACCCGAATGTCCCAATGTTGTCATGCACAAATATATAAGAAAAAAGACAATGTTTAATTTGCATATGACAAAGTAAATTAATTAGCAAACATCTTCGGGTAAATGTACGAAACGGATTATGTTAATTTTGTGCACCGAACAGTTCAATCTGAGCTGTGGAATTTCTGTGTTTCACGTAGTATCTTCACATCGTAGAAATATATCTGTTTACCTATCCAGGGTAAATGATCACGTTACTTACAATTTATTTTCAAGACTGGCCCGGACGGCAACCCAAGGAATGACGAACACCAACGGCCCTCCTGAAAGAACCAATATCCGACACATTATCAACACAAGATCATCTCAACAAACTAAAAGGTCAACTTATAACAAAGACACATTGTAACAAGCAGGCAGGGCAAGGGACCACGGACCGGTTTCCCAAAGCTAAAGTCCAGTAGTGTAAAGTGAATTTACGACAGTCGTAACGCTAAAACGGGAACCATGGCCGAGGAATATCCCCCCCCCCCCCCCCCCCCCCCCCACACACACACACACACACACACACACACACACTCCATCGTGTAGATCACAGAAGTCTGGCTACTTTTCAAATGGATGACAAAGTTTCCTACAACTACGAAAATAATTATTTTGTCACAAATCTTTTATTAAAACTTGACTTAAACGTTTCTTTTATTAAAACCTGACTTAAACTTAAACTTAGAACTAGTATCAAAATCCTTTAAAATAGCACTTAAGTTCTTATATGATTGACAATTCCCGATAAGCTTCTGACTGAAGATGGCGGCAAATGTAATTAAATTCTTAAAATATCCCACAGTGGAACTACAAGGTGGCTAGATTTTTTTTGAAGTCTCTGAAAGTTTCTGCTTCAACTACAAAACGCCATGTAGGCTTAGTTGATATGTCCAACCTCAAAGGAATTACTGTGTAAATCTTTCGGGGGAAAGCCATCCTATGCCAATAATTTGAAATCTTCAAGCAATATGAATTGGTCTGGTGGATATATATTTCGTTGATACAAGCATGATCAATAGCCTGCTTTTATTGGATTCAGAAGACGATGCTTTTAAGCAGTGATCAGATCTGACATATATATTGACTAGCTCTGGACCCTTTCTCCGCCCTAACGTCGGGTTGACGTTATGTGACGTTGTCGCGGAAGGTGATCGCTTACCGTATTCCCACATCCCATCATCGTCTAATATTACTTGTTCTATATATGACTAACCTGGGCTACAGATCACCAATATTTGAAAAGTCTCTACACTAACAGTTCCTTTAATGAATCACCTCCCAAAACGTAATTCTGTACTGTTCTTCTTTGAAAATGATTAAGGGTTCCAGATCGGAAACAAAACCCTGAACTGTAAAACAAGATGGCGCTGACTTAAACACCAACGTATTCATTTTTTATTTTCGAAGAAGAGGTGAGGTGAAATGGGGTTTAACGTCGCGTCCAAGATTATTGCACTTATATAGCGACGTGCATGCACGTGTGTGTGTGTGTCTGCTTGTACTAGTCCGGACTGATGCCGATTTATAGTGCTAGCTCACTGAGATACCATGCCGCAGTTTAACATGAATACCCCACTCAGACACAGTATCCTGACTCCGAGCCGACCAGTCCGTGTTTTAGCCCCTTAATGCCGAGCGCCAGACAGGGTAACAACAAGTACCATCTTTTAACGTCTTTTGGTATGACGCGGTCGGGGATCGAACCCCGGACCTTCCGCTCTCCGGGCGGACGCTCTACCACTAGACCACGGAGGCGGTACTTTCGAAGAAGAAAAATATAGTACATATTTGGGGGAAGGTGATCAAGAAAGAAATTGGTATGTGCGCCCATATGTCTAACGGGACGACCCGTAGCCCCAAGTTGTGAAAAACGGACATTCAAGGATGAGCAGATGCTGGGATAAGGTTTTGCAGATGAAGCTTGTGATGCAACCTACATGATACGCATATGAGAGTTCAGGTACCGATGATCTCAACTTCCGGATTATAATCAATTGCTCGTAATCATTGATCAGATGAAGAGTGACGACTATGAAATCACTTAGGTTCATCGTGAAACAACGTGTCAATTCCTTGATGTATATCGTTCTGGCAACAAATCCCCTCTATTACCCGGAGACTGTGTTTCAGGTTCATCCGTGGCACCAACTACAGCGTCTGACTCCTGGACAAGATCTTAGGTCAGGACTGTAGAGCAAGATTTCTAGTTATAAGGCCTTGCAGATTCCGGTCACGAGTCCAGTATGACCTGTACAACCTGATGGCTACTTGGACAAATAGAGGTAACTTGTGTTACACGAGCCAACCCCGGTCCGTCAGAGCTGTTAAATTTCAAACCTGGAGTTAAGCTTTTGAACAAATCTCCGAACGAGTTGATATTATTAAGAGCTAGCGCGTTTTCGATTTAACATTTTTTGCCTTGTAAAAATATGTTCGTCTCAAGCTCAAAAGAAAATACTTCATCGTCAACTACTACTACAAGTTCTATTACTGTCGCTTCTGCTGCTGCTGCTACTGCTACTACTACGACAACTATTCTTTTCATTATATCTAATGTACTTCTACTACTACTACTACTACTACTACTACTTCTACTACTACAACTACTACTACTACTTCTACTACTACTACTACTACTACTACTACGACGACGACTACAACTATTCTTTTCATTATATCTAATGTACTACTACTACTACTACTACTACAACTACTACTACTACTTCTACTACTACTACTACTACTACTACGACGACTACAACTATTCTTTTCATTATATCTAATGTACTACTACTACTACTACTACTACTACTACTACTTCTACTACTACTACTACCACTACTACGACGACAACTTTTCTTTTCATTATATCTAATGTACTACTACTACTACTACTTCTACTACTACTACTACTACTACTATTTCTTCTACTACTACTACTACTACTACTTCTACTACTACTACCACTACTACGACGACAACATTTTATACCCATGTTTGATGGTGGGTAAAATTGAAACAAACGTTATTCGGAGGGGGGATCTATTCCACATGGTTATATTGAGTGAATATTGTTTTACCAATATTCCAGGAATATCACGGCAGGGGACACCAGAAATGGGCTTCACATATTGTACCCATGTCGGGAATCGAACCCGGCTCTTCTCCGTGACGGGCGAACGCTTTAAACACAAGGCTACCCGACCGCCCCTCGATACGGTAATAGGCGATATTACATGCATCACATCAATGAGTATCTCACAACAGGCATGCACACGACGTTTCAAGGAACATGGTGGTCGGAATAAATTTTCACAGTACACATTCATAAGCAGAGTGAAGTGAATTTTCAAAACTATTCTTTCGTCTAACTGACAGTTTAGTTCAAGTACAGTAAACTACGTTTATAACGAACACTCTTATAAAGAACTGACAGATATAACGAACTTATTTTTAGCCCCGACCATTTGTTGTATATATGCTATAGGTATGCTTATAACGAACTACGGTTATTACGAACTGAAATTAGTGGTCGCCTCGAGTTCGTTATAACCGTAGTCTACTGTATTTCAATAGCTAGACCCAGCAATCACATGGCGAAGATTTCGCTGCCTACAGAGTTGTCACAAGACCGACTCACCCCATCCCAGAAGAATATACCAGCGCACGGTGTTCCGCTCGGAGAACACGGCGACGATGATGAGTGTGTGGAGGTACAGCCCCTCCACAAATATCCACATGTAGTTGGCCGCTAGCATGTAGTGGAAACAGGTCAACAACAGCTTACACTGCCAGTGCTGCAAACAACAGTGTCCGGTATAAGCAGGTTGTTTTATAAAATCCCGGTTCGCCCCGATTATGTTTCTAGGTTTGTCAGCACCAAACCCGTGCTCTTTGGTTTCACCAAGAAGCTAAACGTCTGAGACCTGCATCAGATCAGGCTTTCCTCCCACAATAAGCTGACACGCCGTGATATAACTGGTATACTGTTCAAAGCGGCGTTAAAACCAACTCACTCACTCACTCTGTCCCTAAACCAAACATTCTTGTACGTGCCACATATAACAAAAACCGAATACACTTAACACATTGTTTTCGTCCAATTTGGTTACACCTGATTATATCCTTGTCGTAAAGGGCGACTAAGCTTGTCGTAAGAGGCGTCTAACGGGATCGGGTGGTCAGGCTCGCAGACTTGGTTGATGCATGTCATCGTATCCCAACTGCGTGGATCGATTGTCATGTTGTCAATCACTGGATTGTCTGGTCCAGACTCGATAATTTACAGACCGCCGTCATATAGCTTGAATATTGCTGAGTGCGGCGTTAAACAACAAACAAACAAACACACCTGTTAATCCTTGATCGTGTGAAGCAAACGTTATCGACGTCCTCAAATAACGTTTGCGCCGTTGCTGAGAGCATGACACAAATAACGGGACAACCCGTCACAAAGCAGCTAACAAGACTTTAATGTATTCCCCTGACACCCTAAGGAAAAATATCAATAAATATTTTGCGACAGACTGTAATTAATTATTTGCTTTCAAATGAAAATAAATCTGTCCATCTCTTCAAGATTGATGCCTCGTGAAGATCTATTTTCGTAATATGTGGAACGTTACACCTGGATGTGTAATTACAAGATTAAAATAGCTTTAGGATACATGGCAATACGGGGATGTGAAACTTGTGTTTGATCGTCAGCCCGGCTTGTGTGTACATCGGCTTGGCCGAGAGACCGTTCTATATCACCATTTTACACGCATAGGTTTACGCAGGCGAGCTGATATATAATCATTACCTTAATCTTAAATTGATCTGTAAAACATTAACGAGCGTGTATCCAAGAGATCTGAGAGTTTGTTCAATGAAATTGTAGGTCTCAATCGTTAAGGTAGCACAATGCTGCTATTTCATCATATTATTCGCTATAACACATAACTATTAGGATTTTTCTTTCAATTTGAGCCCTTTAAGCAAATGAGGCGGGGTGGGGTATGTATGTGTCTGTGTTGGGGTGGGGGTGTGGGGTGTGTGTGTGTGTGTGGGGGGGGGGGGGGGGGTGTAATTGCTGGCGTTATCTGTGCACAAATGGGCCCATAAACAGCCTTGACAGATTCGCAGATCATTTTCCAATTTTATTCAACAAATAATGGTCACTAAGTAGAGACAATTTATGAAATGAGTGAGTTGGGTTTAACGCCGCTTTTAACAGTATTCCAGATATATCACGGCGTGTCAGCTTAATGTGGGAGGAAAGCCCGAAGTGATGCAGGTCTCAGACGTTTACAACTTCGCTGAAACCCACGAGCACGGGTATGGTGCTGACAAACCTAGAAACATAATCGGGGTGAACCGGAATTCGAACCCACAATCATAGGTTTCTGGTGTGCCGAAGGGACGCAACTCTGCACAACGAAACGCTGTGCTTTAGACAAATGGGCCAGCCGTTCCCCCCAGCAAGATTCAAACTATATCACATCGGTCTGTATCTGATCGAGTTCGGGCCAGGCAAACAAGTGGTTGATATTATGAACAACGTCCCACGTCGTCGGTTACGATGACACGTTATCTTCCAATGAAAATAATCCTGGCAGTCCGATCCATTATGTCGCCCATTCTAGATTCATTACAAATAATATTGCACATGTGCCGCTTCCCTCAACACCTGAAATTGTGTTTGTTTAAATATGAATGATAGTGTTATCAACAAGCATCAACTATAGAACTAGTCTGACCGTTCCCTCTGGGTTGAACTCCAGAATGCCGTGGGTGTTAGCGATCATGTCGATGGGTAGACCCAACCCTCCGAGGAATAGGTTGTCCCTCAGGATGGAGAGCGTGGCTCGAAACATGAAGGACAGAAAGAGGTTGAGGTGGACGATGTTCCGGGGACAGTGTAGACGTCTGCAACAACACGGACGACCATTTCAACATCACCAGATTGACTATTTCAGAATGCAGACACGGGTCTGCCATCGGTATATTAAAAGGGCTGACATTCTCTTTGCAGAGTTAAAAAGATCCGGCGATCTTGGTTCGAATCGACTTCACCACAGCTTAATAACATGTTTTTTCATCTCGTCTAGACTAACGTGATACATATCGTTGGCATTTAGTGAATTCAACGAATACGGGTATGATGCTGACAAACCAAAGAATATTGTCAAGGCAAATATGGGATTTGAACCCTCGATCGAAGAGGAAAATTCTAAACAGTATTGCGACGCCTGAGGCCTCTTAGCAACACGTTCCATCACCTAGACAAGCCACTTCGGCAACATAAGAAATATTTCGTGTTTCTCATCATGCGATTAGGTCGAAATTGGTGTTCATATATTTCCAAAATACTAAAAGAGAAAGTCACAATTGAACTAAATAAAACCTATGACGCCACTACAGGCTTCAGAACATTACTGATTCGATAAAAGGGAAGATGATATATCTGGTCGTTGGAGAAAATTACATCAAAAAGTGCACATTGAAGGGTAAAACATACGTACACGATGTACACACCTGAAATTAGCATACCCGAAATAAACATACCTGTGAAATACGTACTTGAAATATACATAACTGGAATACACATGCCTGTAATACACATACTTCAATTATACATTCATTTATGACACCTGAAATATACATGACACCTGAAATGTACACCATGATACCTGAAATATACATCATGATACCTGAAATATACACCATGATACCTGAAATGTACATCATGATGCCTGAGATATACATCATGATACCTGAAATATACATCATGATGCCTGAAATATACACCATGACACATGAAATGTACATACCTGAAATATACAACGACAAAGACTGCGAAGGTGAGGGAAGTCAGAGACAGCCCGTAGCCAATATTGAACATGATCCGGATGCGAGCCAAGTGTTCCTGTAACAGGGAAAAATGACCGTGCAGTATGCCATTTCAGTAGCCAATAACGCTTGCACACCTGACACAAGAGTGAAACATGAATACACACCAACTATACGAATGCACGTAGGGATATCCTCACTCAATTACCCTCACGTGTGTATACGTGTATTGTGCCGGGAAAAAGCCAATATACTCTTGAAAATTGGATTTGACCACAAAAAAATTACAAACCTTATCAAAACGCTACTTTTCTGATAGCAGTCGCCTAAACACTTGGTTGATTATTTTTACGATAAAGTCATTTGTCTCACAATCCAAAAGGTACGAACCTAATTTTTAAACTGATTTAGAAAAGTGTTTTTTTACGTAGATTAACATGGCTATCCCACTCAGACTCCAAATCGACGAGTACTAATTTTATACTTTTGTTGCCGCGTGCGAGGCAGGGTAACAACAAGTTCCTTCTTGTTTGTTGTTTAACGCCACATTCGGCAGTATTCCAGCTATATCACGGCGGTCTGTATATAATCGTGTCTGGACTAGACAATCCAGTGATTGACACCATGAGCATCGATCCACGCATTTGGGTACGATGACGTGCATCAACCAAGCCATCGAGTCTGACCACCAGATCCCATTAGTCGCCTCTTATGGCAAGCATGGATTTCTGAAGACTTATTATAACTCGGATCTTCACGGGGAGGTAACAACACGAATCATCTTTTAACTTTCTGTGGTATGACGTGGCCGGGGATCGAAACTTCGACCTTTCGCTCTCTGGGCAGACGCCCTGTCCCCTGCACCACTGAGGCGGTCCTATACGAGCGGTCAAGTGTAGATATACCGAATATCCAGCTGTATTCACATATGAGGAACAAATTCGGAAGGCGAGTCCCCTCCACGCGGGAAAGAGTGAGTGAGTGAGTGAGATGGGTTTAACGCCGCTTTTAACAGTATTCCAGTTATATCACGGCGTGTCAGCTTAATGTTGGAGGAAAGCCCGTGGGCCACCCGTGCCCCCTCACGCGGGAAAGAGTGCTAGAAACCATAAAGCGTAATTACGTTTCTTGTTTCAAGGTCACTTAACCTTCTAGCTCGGTACATCAGGAGCAGAGATGGCGAGTGAATGTTGTTTTACGCATGCGACCGTTACAGTCCAGCTTCACCACGGCGGCTTGAAAATAATCGAATTCGGACCAAGACAACCGCGGTGCGAGGCCCTCACACAGCAAGGTCGCGCGTTATCTGACATTTCAAGGCGGCTTTGATGACAAAAGAGGATCATACTGGATTAGTGGGTTACTGGGTTGCTTTCAAACAGACATTCCCACGGGGATTGGGACCAGGCGATTTGTTGGTGAAACGACGACATCAATTACAACAGGAGGGGGCTACCCTTCAGAATTCGCTCCTCATATGTGAATACAATTGCGAGAGAGGCGGTCGGGTAGCCTAATGGTTAAAGCGTTCGCTCGTCACGCCGAAGACCCGGGTTCGATTCCCGACATGGGTACAATGTGTGAAGCCCATTTCTGGTCTCCCCCGCCGTTATATTGCTGGAATATTGCTAAAAGCGGCTTAAAACCATACTCATTCACTCACTCAACTGTCTGAGCATGCAATAAACTTTGTTATAACGTATTCGTTATATCTGTTCTGGATCTTAGGATGGTAGTTAGGACTGGTCGACTAGGAGCTAGTATATTGTGGCTGAGTTGGATCTCCATGTTAAACTGCGTCTTGGTATTTCATTTGGCTGGCTCTATAAAATCGAGATAACTCCGAGCTAGTACAAGCAGCCACACACACACACACACACACACACACACACACACACACACACACACACACACACACACACACACACACACACACACACACACACTAGTACAAGCAGACACACACACACACACACACACACACACTAGTACAAGCAGACACACACACACACACACGTACAAGCAGACACACACGCACAAGCAGACACACACACACACACACACACACACACACTAGTACAAGCAGACACACACACACACACACACACACACGTACAAGCAGCCACACACATACACACACACACACACACACACACACACACACACACACACACACACACACACACACTAGTACAAGCAGACACACACACACACACACACACACACACACTAGTACAAGCAGACACACACACACACACACACACACACACACGTACAAGCAGCCACACACACACACACACACACACACACACACACACACACACACACACACACACACACACACACTAGTACAAGCAGACACACACACACACACACACACACTAGTACAAGCAGCCACACACTAGTACAAGCAGCCACACACACACACACACACACACACACACGTACAAGCAGCCACACACACACACACACATACGTACAAGCAGCCACACACACACACACACACACTAGTACAAGCAGCCACACACACACACACACACACACACACACACACATTTATGTGTACATGTGTACACACGCCGGGAGATAAGTGCATTAATCTTCAACGCCTTTCGCTCCACCCACCTCTAACATAGATCTGGACGTTTGAAATATATGTTTAGAAACCGCGTCACATCGTCCTGACGTCACGAGGTTTCAGCTTCCATAACTCAACTATTGATTCCAGGAAACCTCAGTGAACCGATGTGTTTTAAGTGTTTTACAAATATAAAGAATATACGCTTGGTGCAAATGCAAGTGGTAGAACTTCTAGTCTTGAAGATGGAAGCCACTGAATGTTTGTCTTGGTCGTATGCAACTAAGCCCATCGATTTGTTTGATTCAGTTTCCGCAGCAGGAATCACGCAGCATCGATGTCAGATTGATTGTGACTAGAGGCAAGAACATAACAGCTTAAATACCTTTAGGGAAATCTGAAGGAGTATTAGCTGTATTTACGCGTTAGGCTTAGTCATTAATTCAGACGGGGCAATAATAGTTTCCTAACTCGAGTACATGACCAAAGAACATTTTTGTTTGTTTGTTTGTTTGTTTGTTTGTTTGTTTGTTTGTTTGTTGTTTAACGCCACACTTAGCAATTTCCAGCTATATGTCGGCGGTCTGTAAATAATCGAGTCTGGACCAGACAATCCAGAGATTGATATCATGAGCATCGATCCACGCAATTGGGATACGATGACATGAATAAAACAAGTCAGCGAGCCTGACCACACGTTAGTCGCCTCTTATGACAAGCATACTAAGTCGCTTCAAACGGCAAGCATGGGTTGTTGAAGACCAAGTCTATCCCATATCTTCATGGGTCCACTCATTGTGTTCAGTTCAGAATTTTTTTCATGGCAAGGGGAAAAGTACAATAGCCTACGTACGGTGCATTTTCGCCTGAAGTGCCTAAATTGTATTTTTCAGCGAACATTGCCTTTAATGCTTTGCAGAGAGTCCTTGGGTGGCCAGCAACCAGTGATCGGAGGTTCGAGTCCTAGTTTATGTTACTAGGTTTACCATTACTAACCCGTGCTCGTAGGTTTCACTGAAGTTGTAAACGTCTACGACCTGAATAACTTCGGTCTTTCCTCCCCTATGAAACAGACCGAGATATAACTGAAATACTGTTCAAGGCAGCTTTTAACCCCGTTCCCCCATCACTCATAATGTTCATAGTTGTATTTATATTTCATTTTTGCTTCACAAAGTTATTTAAGACCTAAGATGATCGTAAGTCCTATAATTTAAGTAAGGCTTACGACAGTCGTAGCGTTAAGATGATCGTACTCCTATACTTAAACAGAGGCTTACGAAAGGCGTAGCGTTAGGATGATCGTCCTCCTATACTTTTACATAGGCTTACGACAGTCGTAGCGTTAATATTGTCGTACTCCTATACTTTAACATAGACTTACGACAGTCGTAGCGTTAAGATGATCGTACTCCTATACTTTAACATAGGCTTACGACAGTCGTAGCGTTAAGACTCCTATACTTAAACAGAGGCTTACGACAGTCGTAGCGTTAAGATTGTCGTACTCCTATACTTTAACATAGACTTACGACAGTCGTAGCGTTAAGATTGTCGTACTCCTATACTTTAACATAGACTTACGACAGTCGTAGCGTTAAGATGATCGTACTCCTATACTTTAACATAGGCTTACGACAGTCGTAGCGTTAAGACTCCTATACTTAAACAGAGGCTTACGACAGTCGTAGCGTTAAGATGACCGTCACTCCTGTACTTTAATAGAGACTTACGACAGTCTTAGCGTTAAGATGATCGTACTCCTATACTTTAACATAGGCTTACGACAGTCGTAGCGTTAAGATTGTCGTACTCCTATGCTTTAACATAGGCTTACGACAGTCGTAGCGTTAAGATGATCGTCCTCCTATACTTTAACATAGGCTTACGACAGTCGTAGCGTTACGATCACTAACAGGACCCAGGTTACACATGCTGCAATAACGTTGCCAAGTCACGTGGCCCTTGCACGCGAACCACGTGACCTTGCATGACGTCAATTCTTTCAACCTATGGTCCGTCCGCCCAGAAGTAATTAGCGGAAAAGGAAACAGACGAACAATCGCACCAGTGTGCTGACAACAGCAGGTATAGATCATGATGTGTGTGCAATCTGTCACGTACGCCAAAATAGATTCAGTAATGTATTAAATCAGTTCGTTTCCTTGTGCTGTCGACAAATATTTATGGAATATTACTTTTATTACTTCCAGTGTCAATAACGGGAATCGATATTTATGTTAATAGAAGACGGTAATCTGAACACTAAATCTAGATATCAACATGATTTGTCTTAATGACTTTTCATCATTCACAGACTGGATGTAACTGTTGGCACGGGTGGCCCAGTCGTCTAAGGCGCCGCGATTCGCTGTGCAGAGTTGCGTCCCTTGGGCACGCCAGAAACCTATGATTGTGGGTTCGAATCCCGGTTCGCCCCGATTATGTTTCTAGGTTTGTCAGCTCCATACCCGTGCTCGTGGGTTTCACCGAAGTGGTAAACGTCTGAGACCTTCATCACTTCGGGCTTTCCTCCCACATTAAGCTGACACGCCGTGATATAACTGGAATACTGTTAAAAGCGGCGTTAAACCCAACTCACTCACTCACACACTGGAGGTAACTACTGTGTGTTCTTAGGGTTGTTATCGACATTCTTCTTCCTCAAGGTGTGTTTGTTTGTTTATTTGTTTATTGTTTAACGCCGCACTCAGCAATATTCAAGCTATATGACGGCAGTCTGTAAATAATCGCGTCTAGATCGAGTCTAGTGATTGATATCATGAGCATAGATCCACGCATTAGGGAATTGACATGCATCAACCAAGTCAGCGAGTCTGACCACCCGATCCCGTTAGTCGTCTCTTACCACAAGCATAGTCACCTATTCTACCCCGGATCTTCACGGGTCTCCTCGGGAAGTGAGTTGGGTTGAAGGTCGCTTTGAAACGTTTTTCACTAATGTTATGATCCGTGTGCATGACTTATAGTGAAAATTTGAAAAGGTCACAGAATTTTACTGCTTGGGTCACACTAACGAAAACAGATATGACGAGGACAAACCACGCACCGCAATCAAAGCAAATCTGGGATTCGAAACATTTGGATGACGCCAATCGTTTGTGATTAACATACTGATGACGGCTACATTGATGACGAAGCTAAGTATCTTTCTGAAATATTGCCATTTCGTGGTGCAGATCAAGCGAAGACAGGGTACTGTACCAGATCAAGCGAAGATAGGGTACTGTATCAGTTCAAGCTAAAACAGGGTCCTGTACCAGATCAAGCGAAGATAGGGTACTGTATCAGTTCAAGCCAAAACAGGGTCCTGTACCAGATCAAGCGAAGATAGGGTACTGTACCAGATCAAGCGAAGATAGGGTACTGTACCAGATCAAGCGAAGATAGGGTACTATACCAGATCAAGCGAAGATAGGGTACTGTACCAGATCAAGCCAAGACAGGGTACTGTACCAGATCAAGCGAAGATAGGGTACTGTACCAGATCAAGCGAAGATAGGGTACTGTACCAGATCAAGCCAAGACAGGGTACTGTACTAGATCAAGCCAAGACAGGGTACTGTATCAGATCAAGCCAAGACTTGGAACTGTACGAAATAACCATCAATATACCAGCGGTCAGACATACCGAAGGTGAACAGTAGAGATCGATATTGACGCATACATTGACTGCATATCTGGTTCTAATCAATAATCTCCGTCTGCTGACATTGTTTGAGAACATTAATATGTCTTTCAAATATGTTTACATAGAGATTTCATACTCGCCAGATGTTGTTTATCAAATTAAGTTAATTGCTTTACATGATTGTACTTATTGAACTTTTTGTTCCGGCACATGCATACATGTGTTCGTCCAATTTGATTAAATAAACATAAGAAATATCTGTACATTGTAAGGAACCCTTTCAAACTCCGAATGTTGCATGTAGAGTTCAGAAAAAGTCGTTACTGTGGCATTTGGATGTTAGAGTTAGTGAGTGGGTAGAGGCTTTACGCCGCTTTTAGCAATATTCCAGCATTTTCACGGATGGGGAAACCAGAAATAGGCTTCACACATTGTACCCATGTGGGGAATCGAACCCGGGTCTTCGGCGTGACGAGCAAACACTTTAACCTCAACCCCACCGCCCCTTTGATGTTAGAACATATATACAGGTACATACATTGTATGTATTTTAAAGAGGTTGGTATCCGTAATATGACTTTTCGTAATGAAGCAGACACAGGACTTCACAAAACAAATAAAATAGTCTCTTTAAATGGACTCCCGAAATATTTCGTATACAATATTAATATAAGTAACAAAGTATGGTTGAATAATTTCTGTATGAACACTTTCTGGAAGATACATAATTATAAATATGGATATGAACATTGTGATTTCTTTTGCATATTAAGTATAGGGAACATAAATACTATCTAGAGTAAAGTACGTTAATAATGAACTGACGAATATAACGAACTATTTCTTGGTCCCGTCCATTTGCTGTGGGGGCACGGGTGGCCCAGTCGTCTAAGGCGCCGCGATTCGCTGTGCAGAGTTGCGTCCCTTGGGCACGCCAGAAACCTATGATTGTGGGTTCGAATCCCGGTTCGCCCCTATTATGTTTCTAGGTTTGTCAGCACCATACCCGTGCTCGTGGGTTTCACCGAAGTGGTTAACGTCTGAGACCTGCATCACTTCGGGCTTTCCTCCCACATTAAGCTGACACGCCGCGATATAACTGGAATACTGTTAAAAGCGGCGTTAAACCCAACTCACTCACTCCATTTGCTGTAAATGCTGCACATATGCTTATAACGAACAACGTATATTACGAATTAAAGTGAATGGTCCCTTTGATGGGATACATCATACTGACAGTATTTTGTTCACCCACACTAAATGGTTGATCATTTGTTTCATTCCATTGGCTTTCCTGTGGACATTCTTTGTTTTGTTGACATGACATTTCAGTTTCTGGTTTTAATGTCCAATATTTCACCAAAAAACGTTTCTATTACAGTCCAGATTACATTGAATATTTACCTCAAATTGCAAGACCACTGTTTGGTTGTTACTATCATAAACACTACAAACACGAAAACGTCGGTTTTGTTTTCGTATATGGTCATATTACGGAAAAAACGTCGTTTTTTGGACGCTTTCAAACCATCGTTTTTCCGTTCAAATAACGTCGTTATTTGACATCAGAAGTTACTGGGAGAGAATGATATCATCTGGCTCCTTCCTTCCCTGACTGACTTTGTCAATCAAACAACAGCGTCTACCGGTATTTCTACTTCTCAGATTGTATTGGTCAGTTCTCGCGTGTTACTCACTCGGGGCAGATGGTCAGTAATTCCTCGTTTCTATAAACAAAACTAAAAACTATCACCATAATCATACGAAATCTCTGCCAAACGCAGAGTATATTCTACGATTCCTAATATATATCATCAGCATGTGTTAATGAACCACCATCAAATAATGATAATAACAGATGTTCGCGAAAATGTGAGAATATTCTGCCCCCAACGGTGGCAACCGTCACAAACACACGCAAAGGCAAGTCAAGTGTTCTCATGAACAAAGTGTGAACTGCATCGGATATCATTGGTCACGCCACATCCTCCACATGTCTACCATAATTGACAGTGATCGATATGTATCTCCCCGATGTTTGCTTTCTGAATAAACTAATCATGCAAATCTGTTATGCAGATATATATGTTACACGGGGTAATTATCAGTGGGGTTAAACCAGTCATATGCTATTACCGCAAAAGTAGGGTCTGCCTTGACAGATTTGTCTGCGTAGCAATCCGTGTAATTTGTCCATGTCTCATTGTAGATCGGATTGACGAACCACTCGCCAGTTTCTGTACACGTCCGCGTGGCACGTCCTGAAAATATAATCCATCCATGACAATGTGTGAATCGTTTTATAGGAAGTTTCAGATAAAATATCCAACATCAATTCACAAATAATTCACATGAAATTATATGAATTGAGTTAAAATATCGTACATTGTTTTCCAATTCAACATGATTCACAAAGTGAGTGAGTGAGTTTGATTTTACGCCGCTTTTAGCAATATTCCAGCAATATCACGGCGGGTTACACCATGTCGGGAACAGAACCCGGGTGGTCGGCGTGACGAACGAACGCTTTAACCACGAGGCTACCCGACCGCCCCCGATTCACAAAGAGCTTCTTTGAATCCATCTAAGAGCCTATTTACTAAATTTAAATAAATTTGAATCCTCTAAAGTTAACATTACCCACACTGCCAGGAACTATGTGTTTTTGTTGGAACAGCATCAATACAGGTTAAATCTGCCAAACCAATCCTGCCACTAACACCATTCGGTTCAGTGTGAAGTGGCGGAAGTGCAAAGAGTCACCTCCCCTTGTATTACGAGGTGGAGACTCTTTCATCACCTTCAAAGTACATTATAAACAAGGGGAAACAGGTGTAGTTTACGTTTGATTTGCGTTATTTGCCCTGTTTCGTTAATAATAGACCGCCTCCGTGGTCTAGTGGTAGAGCGTCCGCCCGGAGAGCGGAAGGTCCGGGGTTCGATCCCCGGCCGCGTCATACCAAAAGACGCTAAAAGATGGTACTTGTTGTTACCCTGTCTGGCGCTCGGCATTAAGGGGCTAAAACAAGGACTGGTCGGCTCGGAGTCAGTATACTGTGTCTGAGTGGGGTATTCATGTTAAACTGTGGCATGGTATCCCAGTGGGCTAGCACTATAAATCGGCATCAGTCCGGACTAGTACAAGCAGCCACACACACATACACACACACACACACACACACACACACACACACACACACACACACACACACACACACACACACACACACACACACACACACACACACACACACACACACACAGGCACGTCGCTATATAAGTGCAATAATCTTGGACGCGACGTTAAACCCAATTTCACCTCACCTCACGTTAATAATAGGTTTGAAATATTCGGATGAAGGGACTTCGTGTACTGTTTAAGTGAGCAAACGCAAGTAAACGAGTAAGAGTTTCTGAAGGAAGAAGCGCAGTTAAATTATATGGTCTCAACAAACGGACAGATATATTTATCACAGAGTAAACAGTTCTTTCCCTCAAAAATCTGGGCGTCTCCTCGTCCGGGCGTGTAAACCTCACAAAGAGTCGGTGTGTTTCGTTTAAACCAAATAGCCGCATGTAAAATGTCAGGAAGGATACCCGAGCTCGTTCTGAGTACACTAAGGAAGTTAGATCCTTTATCACTCCTCATTATAATACTGAAGCAAGATAAACGTTCTTATTTGATCAGGGGGCACGGGTGGCCCAGTCGTCTAAGGCGCCGCGATTCGCTGTGCAGAGTTGCGCCCTTGGGCACGCCAGAAACCTATGATTGTGGGTTCGAATCCCGGTTCGCCCAGATTATGTTTCTAGGTTTGTCAGCACCATACCCGTGCTCGTGGGTTTCACCGAAGTGGTAAACGTCTGAGACCTGCATCACTTCGGGCTTTCCTCCCACATTAGCTGACACGCCGTGAAATAACGGGAATACTGTTAAAAGCGGCGTTAAACCAAACTCACTCACTCACTCTTATTTGATTATATTTCGGAAACACACACACACACCATCATCATCATCATCATCATCATCATCACCTATCTCGATTATACCCATAATACCCTCCGGGAAAAGGGAGACATTGCCGTCTAATACTGATCACATTCACCATACAGCGGCGTTCCTTTGCCATGGGTTCGAATCCTTGATTTAACCCGCCGGTCTGTCTGCACCATTCCCGTGCTCAGCGTTTCCACCAAAGTGAAATGTCTCAGACCTACTTTCTCGCCATGATGTACCCCATGTACTGTTTACCGTTACGTCTGTAGTCTCCACTGACTGACCTTGCAGGTTGAATCCGTGAACATATTTTGCACAAGGCTGTTCTGCGACGTCCCCTGCCCTGGTCGGGGGCCAACACATCAGGTCATCCCAGGTCCGGTTACATTGCAGACCTGAAACACGTGGAGTCAAGAAACAATTGATAGTCATGTAATGGGTAAAAGAAAGGTATTGGACATAATCGGTAATGGGGTTTAACGTCACGTTCGAGGTTATTGCGCTTATGTTGCAGCAACATGTACATATTTGTGTTGATTCATCTGAGTGAGTGAGTGAGTGAGTGAGTGAGTGAGTGAGTGAGTGAGTGAGTGAGTGAGTGAGTGAGTGAGTGAGTGAGTGAGTGAGTGAGTGAGTGAGTGAGTGAGTGAGTGAGTGAGTGCGTGCGTGCGTGCGTGCGTGCGTGTTGCTGCATCTGAGTGAGTGAGTGAGTGAGTGCGTGCGTGCGTGCGTGCCAGCGTGCGTGCGTGCGTGCGTGCGTGCGTGCGTGCCTGTACTAGTCTGGGCCTCTACCGGTTATATGATAAACAGCGGGCACAATTACAGTGCCATCAGAAAAGAAGCCTTTGGCCGAATAGAAAGTGCGCCTGTGTGTCAAGAGGTGGTTTGAGGAAGCAGGAAGACGTTGCTTGAAGAGGGACTCATTTCTTCCGCACAAGGTTTTGCTTTGGTTGAAAAACGGTTATTCTAGACCTAGTATCCTAGATCCCAATTATTGGTGACATTACCTGTTAGCTTTGATTTCTCGTACAAGGTTTGCTGAAGACATTTGACATGAGCATGCGTGATTTGTCGATGTTGCTCTTCAGGACCAATAATTACCCGGTTCTGAAAACAGAAATAGCACAGTGTAAGTGAGTGGCATTAATTCCTCCTTGTGGTCCTGTTCTTGTGGTCTAATGGATGGAACGTCTGTCAAACGGTCGCAGGTTCGATCCTCTTCATATGAAAAAACGTAAAAAATGATACTTGTTGTTACCCTGCCTGGAACTCGACATCTGAGTGGGGTACTGTTGCACTGTTGCATTGTATCTCTTGTTTGCACTATTAAAACAAGCATCTGGACACACACACACGCAACACGCACACACACACACACACATCCCACACAAACGCACGTGATTTATTTTGCTGTATATGTGCAATAATTTTGAACGCGACGTTCAGCTCCAATTCACCTCATCTTACATCAGTCGATGCTGTGTTGTTGTTTTTCAGAATAACGATTTTATTGTCAAAGTTTCTCACATGAACAATTCAAAGCAACAAACAGGAACAGTTAGAAGTGATTTACATTCAGTACGATGTTAAAAACTTAAGAAATTATTCTTCTGTACAAATATTTATTTCGTATGGTCTTAATATTGAGCTTTGTTTGAAATAACGCCTTTTATTAGTCATACAGAAGTGAATATTATTTGATAACTTGCCCAAATATCAATATACCTATTTCTGAAATATTTATATAAACAGTTGTAAAAATTCAAATGAACACGATCCTACGTGAAACAGCAAGAGAGAAGCGGCGTGACTATTCCTGCCAATTAAACTAATCACGTGTTCGTGCCATCCTCGTTATAAGGCATTCACAATGGAAGAAAAATGCATAATTTATATAATCAGTAATCAGTCAGTGGGTGGGTTGGGTTTAACGCCGCTTTCAACAGTATTCCAGTTATACCACGGCGTGTCAGCTTAATGTGGGAGGAAAGCTCCAAGTGATGCAGGTCTCGGACGTTCACCGGTAATAAGCGCCAGGATATACTGGTTTTAAGTGACCATCACATTTTGTCTCAATAACTCTTTTAAAAGCATCCCCCCGGCGTCCCACCCACGTTATCATGAAAATCAATGGCCTCTCGATTTCACTAATGAGTAGGGGGCAGGTAGCACTTGACAGGAATAGTGAAACGCTACCTAATTAAGTTCTAGTGTGGGATTGTCGAGAGCACTCATATTCCATTGAGTTCGTATCTTATCACCATGCGGAAATTATGTTCGTATTTTTATATATATTTCTACGTTTTCAAGTATTATTCATTACAATACGTTTAGTGTTATTAAGAATTGACTTTCACTTTGTGTGAGTTCTTATATTTTTTCCTATCACTATTTTACACCTCGAGGTGTGTATTACAGAAATGAATTTAGTACGTGTGACTCCATGAGTGAGAGAGTTGGGTTTAACGCTGCTTTTAACAGTATTCCAGTTATATCACGGCGTGTCAGCTTAATGTGGGAGGAGAGCCCGAAGTGATGCAGGTCTCAGACATTTACCACTTCTGTGAAACCCACGAGCACGGGTATGGTGCAGACAAACCGAGAAACATAATCTGGGCGAACCGGGATTCGAACCCACAATCATAGGTTTCTGGCGTGCCCAAGGGACGCAACTCTGCACAGCGAATCGCGGCGCCTTAGACGACTGGGCCACCCGTGCCCCCTTATTAGATATAAACGGTCTCTTATGAAGTACCTCAGTAAACGAGTCACAGAAACAGCGCGTCGTAATACATTTACATCAACTATTGAAAATCAAAATGGCGGACACGCTAAATGTGACTGGAGAGATTTCCGAAGAGGTCCATGAACCTGTGGCGATTACAAGGGTCAGTCATCATTGATTAATTGGCCTATCAGTGAAAGGTGATATAACTAAGATAAATTCATAGATTGCCCTAGACTGTCATTTGTCAGTCTAGACACGGATTGAGTCCATAGTTTGGATGTGCATTTCTTCGTTTGGGTCACAAGGGCGGGCCATGGCGATGATTCTCTTGAACGGGCATTTAGTCAAATTCTCTGACTTATCCGGAGAATGTTGAAACGCTGAGATAAAGATTAAATGGACTAAATAATCAGAAACAGCGCTTTTGTATGTATTCGTGCTGGGGAATGTCCAGGGGTTTCGTCAGGAAAGTGGAAGTTATTAATCCCTCAGTGTCATTTCAAGACAGTCTCGTGGCATACGCCTTTGAACGTCCAATAAAATGTTGCATATCGTGTAAACTTATTAAAAAAAATATATTAAAAAAATATCATAAGATAAAGGCGGCGGAAATTGTGTTTGTTGTTTTAGGTCACTCAGAAACATTCCATTTCTGTGGAGGCAGCTTGTTGATAATGGACTCGCCAATCCAGTTATTGATAATTATTATGAACAGAACAGAACAGATATTTGTTCATAAAAAAGACTTCTGCCCCTCGTCTAGCAGATACAACAAAAGTATAGATTGACAATGGAGGTAGGACACGATTTCATATTTACAGTAAACAGGATTTAATATATTTAGAAATGTATAACAGTTGTGTTTTACACTTGTTTGTAGCAGGCTAAATAGTTATAATTAAGATGGCTTTTCCCAATAATATTTATGCATATATTTTACTCTGTTATCTTTATATTTGAGACATATTAATAGAAAATGATACTCATCAACAAGTACGTTGACACTTCTATCTTGACAATAATCACAGTATCTAAGAGCTTTGATAATGTTGTGATAGCGTCCAACTTCTATTTTTAACTTGTGACTCGATATGCTAATCATTGTTACATATTTCCTTAGACCACGTGGTAAAATATTGAGATTTATCATTTAACTTAAGCATTTATCCATGACATAAGCTTATGACATAAAAACATGTATGTCATACCCCAATGACATAAGTATGCAAATTAGATATGCAAATTAGATAACCGGAAGAGCGAGCGGTTTGATTTGAAACTATATATTATAAGTGAAGTTACACCAGAGATATAATCAGATTACACAGAATCGTTGTTGTTACCGTTATTAAAGTTTCAATTATTCTGCAAAAGTCTGTTCAAGTATTTTGTTTAAAATAATCCGAGGAACTTTTTTTCTCAGCGAATTGTTTATTTTGGTTTACATGGCTATGGAAAACATGTATCACTACGCACGATCTATACGTAAGATTTCGACAAGTTGCTGATGTTAATGTTTAATGCAATTATTCCTTAATTTGGAAGCAAAAATGTGAAAATGATAAATAGAATTCATCACTCGTGTTTTTTAATATGGGAAATATCAACCTCGTCCCGTTAATCGGTATATGCCTCGCCAAAGGCTCGGCAAATACCGATTAACTAAGACTCGAGTCAATCAACCAAGTCATCGAGCCAGACCACCCGATCCATCTAGTCGCTTCTTGCGACCACCGTAGCAGCTCAACGTTGTCGGACATAAACGACAACCAGAGCAAGCATAGCAACTTCACAGATTTTAATACCTTAGGGCATACTTAATCTCACATGCTTGACCAAAACTAAATTTGAAAAACGGAAACAGCGTAAAACAGACGACTAAGAAAGACAAGCGAAATCGTCCCCCAAACGAAACATTCCGCCGCTGCGGGTACTCTCCTTACTGGGGTCTAAACGAGTCCCAGTGTGCAGCTTAGAGCATCCATGACGTTCGAACCGACGCCCAGTCTGACTGCTTCTGTCGCAAAATTTGTAATACACAAGATCCATGTTAGAAAATGTCTTCAGCAACCCATGTTTGCCGTAAAAGGCGACTATGCTTGTCGTAAGAGGCGACTAACGGGATCGGGTGGTCAGACTCGCTGACTTGGTTGATGCATGTCATCGTATCCCAATTGCGTGGATAGACGCTCATAATGTCAATCACTGAATTGTCTTGTCCAGACTCGATTATTTACAGACCGCCGTCATATAGCTGGAATCTTGGCTAGTGCGCCGGTAAACAACAAACGAAACAAACATTAGTAACAACAATGAAGATGCGTTCAGTTGTTTCCTCAAGGGAGTAATTTCGAATAGGTCCGAGGGCAGCTGGTGTTTTATTATACAAAAGGAATGTTAGTAATAAAGCGCGAGTTACCGATTGTCAGTTATAATCTTAATTGTTCTCTATGTCAAGATCAAGGGTCGTTGTACACATTCAACAATGTATGCAATGTTGATATTTATGTAGGATTATCTAAAATAGCAGTAAAAGTATAATGTATAAAGGCTAAGAATAAAGAGGTAGATAAACGTGGTCACGCTTTAGGTCAAGCCCCTACATCGGTTTGCTTTTACTATTACGAAGCATGTGATTTAATAATAATAATAATAATAATAATTGATTTGTAAAGCGCCTAATATCCATCGACAGTTGCTCACTGGTGCTGTGACAAAGTTAAAATGTAATGTCTATGTACATATGCCAACAATCAGGAGATCTATTGAAAAGCTGAAGTGAAGAAGTGGGTGAGGAGTTTCGTCACTTTCACTTGGACATTTATATACTTTATACGAATATTATGAATATTATTTTACGTCGCGTCCAAGATTATTGCACTTATATAGCGAGGTGGTAATTTAATAAGTAGCATTTTTTCATAAATCTGCATAATCTCCTAAAGTATGATAGGAATAGATATTACCTTTAACTTTTCCCGTTAAACCTTTTGTTAATGAGTATTGACGGGTTAGAAAGGTGTGTAACAAGCTCCTTTTCTGTACAAATTATACAAGTACAACTTATACAAGACTTACAACTTATAAAAGATTTACAATAATGCAAGAAAAACTAATAAAAGTTTTCAGTTTTTCTACCATAGTTATAATATCCTGTTGTATTTCGTACACTTACTGATCCTAGAATCATTATAATTTTAACTCTTACAACCTTAGCAATCTTGTGTAACGTACACTTTTAATCTGTTCATTCTTGGCGTTGATGTACATATAAAAAGTAAAGAAAAGTACTTTATTGTAATGCTATCAATGAATGCCTGAATTACAACTTACATACTTGGATGCGGATGTTGATGATATGGAGAATCTCACCCGAGTG